CTGATTACTTCTGTCTGAACAACTCAGCTATCCTTGCATTGTGGAGAAATGGAACCCGTTCAATGCAACTGAGACCAGGCTTCTGGAAAGCCCAAATGAAGTTTGTATTCCAGTCATTGCCATTCATTTGTAGCAGTGAGAACTTTCAATTTGAAGAGTAGCACTTCAGCCAAGTTCTTCACTCTACATCTGACATTTTCAGGGGTATTTGCACTGGGTATAGGGTTTAAAATCAGGATATGAGCGTTACGGAATGACTCATGTTCATAAACAGAAGCATTTGATCTTGTGCAAGTGACTTGGGTTTTAGCCCATCTTTATAAACTATTACATTGCACAACTTTTTGAATGAAATGTCCTTTTAAAATTACAGGATCTCTGCAACGAGACTGAGTGTGATTACAGAAGGTGTTAAGTAACCTTATCAATACCTCATTAGTGTTCATCCACTGACTTCAGATCCTGTGACACGACTGGCTTCAGGTTACTCATAACGTAATTCCATGCGTTGAATGCATCTGCCTTCTCCTGGTGGTGATCCTCCAGTCTGTAACTGGACCTCCAGCACCCTGCATCAGTAGCTAATCTGACTTGATAGCTGGCTCCTAAAGCAACCAATAACAGAGGTTTCTGGGAAATGTATGAGAAGCCTGTAACATGGTTTGTTTGTAACTTGACACTAGAATGCGTCTTTCCAGTAATCGCTTCTGTTGAAGGCCATCTGATTTCTACCAAAGCCAGCTAAATATCCTGAAAAATCTTACGTTTCTTGTCATTCTAGATGTTCTACCAACTGCTGTAGCCAAAATAAACAACAGAAAACCTCAAGTCACTTTTATTCCATGTTGTTGAGAACAGCATGCCCCATCTTTTCAGGCATGAATTCAACCACCATCCAGGCAGTGTGCCCTTTGGGATTTTCTTTTTTATTGGCATTGCACTCAGAAATGAAGTTCTGTATGCTTAGTTGGCTTTTCATACAAGGCAGCAGCTTGCCTGCTGCGATATCTTGATCCTTCATCTTCTTCCCCCTCACTCCTACCCTTTTGTTTTTATCTCTGTTTTTTTGCAACATGCTTCAGGAATATGTGATTTTTTTAAAGGCTGCCTGTTTTTGGGAGGCATGTGGGTAATTTCTTTCTCTTCATTTTCTACATGCTTATTGGAGTTTTGCATCTCCTCGACCTCCTTTATTCTTTCTATTCCTGTAGGCACTGTAGCATCACAACAACAACAAAACCCACCAGGTGTTAGTTAATAAGCAGATTTCTACTCCCTCAGCAATGCATTACCAGTCTGAGATCCTTAAATACATATCTGAATCTGTGGAGCTCCCTGAGGCTGGGAGTAAGTAGCGTATAAGTGCATATGCACATGAATACTTAAGTACAGTATTTTTACATTAGCATTCCTTTGCATCATTTCATCTCAGTAATGAAATGTTTGATTTGTTTCCTATTTTAGAGAGGGGATGGTTGTTTTCAGATGTTTTAATGCCATGAAATGATACTGCACAGACTAGTGCTGCTACCAGTTTAACTCTGTATTCACAGCTATCATTCCTAAGGATTTTTTTCTTTTGGTTTGCAATTTGCTGCATTTTAATATGGATCTTAAGTGTTGACTTTTTGGTTTCCTGACTACATAGGCTCTGTGAGAAATATGATTAGAGATCCAGAAGGCCACTTTTCCTTAGTTCCCTATTTTTCTCTTATTAATCCTGTACAGTCAGTATATAGGAAAGATAAACACCTGCAGAACACAGAATCGCCAATCTAATTGATTAGCCAGAGATTAATTTACGAAAACAGCCCTTTTAGCTACTTCATGTTTTAGATATTAGATTGTAGCCGTCAAGATCATGTTCTCCAGACAGCATTCTTCATAAGCAGAATTACTGGCAGCCACGTGTTAAGTTGCAAAAAGTAGCAGCTGTCATTACTTATTTCAGTGAGGGGCCATTTCAGAATACTGTACTAATTTTGAGCAGGTATATTAAAAATAGAGCTGTTTGCTTAATTTGCAGAATTCACTGTACGTTGGTAATCACTGGTAAATAATGGGGTAATAAAGCAAAAAAGAGGAACTTCAAAATAAATAAATGAATAAATAAATACAAATCTTTAGCACTGTAAGTACTTCTTTCTGCAAAGCTGTGAGGAATTGAAAAGCAGTCCAGTTTGGCCTGTGTTTCAGCAATTAGATTCTGAGGTGGTATAAAATCCTTCTGCTCTCATGTTGGAAGCTTGCCACAATGTGAGCTGGAGCCTGAGGTTGATAGAGGAGTGCCCAGCCTTGCTGTGCAGATGTATCACAGGCAGTCCTGCAAAGCTACTGCATGTTTATGCACAGAAACCTCTCTGCTTCTAACAGTGGTTATAGATGTGTGGATCAACACCATGCTCAACAGCATGCATGTCTGCACAGGTAATTGACATAAAACTTGGCTTAACTTGGTGTCTTTAACAAAAATAAATTAGCTCTGTAATGTGTTTATAATTATGTTTTTGAATGGCCTCTGGGCCAGATTCACTTTTTCATTTAATGTTCGTGCATATGGTACCTGTCCTAGGATTTCATAAACCTGTATCAGTTTTACAGTAAATCCATTCCTTTGGTTTTCATTAATTTCAGTTAAATATGGCAGCTTTATGGTAAAGTTCTTTGTACTGTAGTTTTTAAGAATCGCTTGCTTAGAGCAGTATTTATTTACATTGTTAAGACGTGTTTCTTATCAGCTGGGACTAATATCCAAGGACAGCAGAAATCATCTCAGATAGTTGAGCTGTTTCATACATCTGAAAAAAAAACCTGGAAGAAACTGTAATTGTATGCTTTAGCTGATAGATACATTCAGTAGAGCATGCAAGTTGAATTTTTTTTGCCATTTGCAGCTGGTAAGTCAAGATAAAGTTCCACACAGCCTGAGAAAGACGTGATTGCGGCACGTTGACGTTGACACGTCGCTCCTCTGATGCCAAGGGGCAGACAGGTCTTTTCTACCACAATGAATATTTTCTAATTCTTGGTTGGCCAGAAGGAACATTTGATAATTCCCTTGATAATGGCACCATTATCGTAGAGCAGTTCATATGGAAGTGCTTTCCAGCATTTTCTTGTGTTCTGATAAATTTAAATTGAGTTTTTACCTGAATCCTGAAATGTTCACTGTCTAAAACTGTCACACGGTAAAACAAATCGTGTGATTCTGTGATAAAACATGAAGTCAGATGGCTGTTTGTCTTCAAATAGCTAAAGGTTGGATGATATTAAATGAATTCATACATTAAACTTTTTTGGTTGTTTTGTTTCAGGACATTAGGCATGAAGCCAGTGATTTTCCATGTAAAGTGGCAAAACATCCCAGAAACAAAAACAGAAATAGGTACAGAGATGTCAGCCCCTGTAAGTATATTTGCTTTTCCATTGTTTGTAACACACAACTGACCTCTAATTATTTCTGGCAGGTAAATGCTCTGTGTAAGATCAAGACCTCTGTTACATGCATAGAGATCCCAGATCATTATGTCTGTCAATATATAAAGTTATGAGATTGATGGCACAGAATGCTGTTATGTTCATAGGATCGTTGTGTAGCAACATGCAGTAATTCTGTATGTGTGGGTAGGAAACAGAAGAACGGAACTTGTTTTCTCTTATGCTAGGGAAAAACAGTGGCGGAAGTATTAACACAAGTAAAAATATCCTTTCTATTGCAGTGCACTTTCTAGAACATCCTTTCAGTCAATGTAGCATAATTGTTGCCTTTGGAAGATGGAGAAGTCTTGCATAAAGTAAGACCACTGGAGATGAATCCAGTTGAGACAGAGATTGAGATTTGAGATAGAAAAAAGGACGTTTGCAGAGCTGGTAATCTCAGCGCGAGACCTGTGCTTCCAAAATGACTGTCATTGCATGTTCTGTTGACTTCTGATGAGACTTCAGTCTCTGAGCATGTGCCCTCTGTACAAGGCACTGCAGCAGCACTTCTGCTCAGCATCGCAGGCTGTCTTTCCATCTGTGGTTCTGTGTACAAAGGCTACCACATTCAGACTTCCCTGTGCCTGGTGTGCTGACTTTGGAGGTGCTATTGCAGACACTAGAGAAAGCGGCTACTTGGCTGAACTGACTGGCTTCTCTGCACTGCAGAGCAGTAGTCAGGACCCTTCCTTAAAGGTGCAGCACTGGTACCTATTTTAAATACAGTGATTCTGTAGGTTCTGTCTTTGGGCAGTTATCTATATTCTGCTCAAAGAGAAGAGTGTGACTGTGTACCACCAAATTCTTACATTGTAGGGGCTGAAGGTTATCATCTGTTCACCTTTCTTGTAAAATGTGAAAATTCTTGTCTTTGTGGGTTTTTTTCTGTGTGTGTGTGTGCATTTTTCCTTCTATATAGAAGAAATAGAACCTAACAAAAGAGCAGTAACATTACATTTTCTGTAACTTTAATTATTATTTCTAGACGTTACTTGTTCTTGTCTGGGGAAAAGTAGAGTAAGTCTTTTGTTCAATATATGTTTAGTCAGACCTTTAACAAGCTGATTTTTAATGTTTAAGTTGCAGTAGATAAGCAGTTATGTAACTGTATTTATTTAAAAACAGTAACTTAGTAACTGTACAAATGTATCAGTGTGATCTGGTTTGAGCACCGGATTCTTGCAATGTATTTCCAGAAGACAGAGCTTGACTTGCATTCACTGCTCTGTACAGTGCTGTTCTCATAGTACATACATGGTACTTGAGGCTCCGGGGATACCAGAGAGCACTTCTGTGATTGAGCTCTTTTAATTCTTCAGGAAAACTCTGCTTTTTTGAGCCTATCATCTAGTGAGGCTGTGCATGTATTCTAACCAGTATTTCTGATTTATTCTGCAGTTGATCACAGTCGAATTAAGCTAAATCAAGGTGACAATGATTATATCAACGCTAGTTTAATAAAAATGGAAGAGGCCCAGAGGAGCTACATCCTTACACAGGTAACTGCTGTCTACACACAGTGGAAATATGGGATGATTGGAGTTGTTTTTCAAGGAATTTCTTTAGTCTGTCTGGTTTATGTTGTTTATTTTAAAGCTAGTTAAGTGTATATAAGTATCCCTGTCTGTGTGCATAGAACAACTTTATATAAATGCTGCATGTTTTTCCTTCTTTTTGTCAGTACTGACTTTGCATTTTGGTACCATTGGGTCTCTGACTTCAGGCCCACCTTGGCTTTGTAACAGAAGTTGATGTACTTTTAGAAATCCACTTATGATATGTTGGTTTATGATGAGCAACATCAAGATGTGGTTGACATGTGTCACCTTTCTCCTACATGGAAGACCAATGCATAAAGACCATGGAAGTCCAAAGCACAAAGGCTTTGGAACTTTGGACCATTACAGTCTTAAAATTCCTGAACAGAAACATGCTTCACTTAGTGGGAGAATTTCACATTTACAGGAGTTTGTCGTTACGCATCCTTCTGAAAGCGATGTTAGTGTGGTGTTCACAGATGTGTACATCCTAAGATGACCTCCAAAAGGTCTACGGACTGTGCTGATGTCTTTGTCTTTGAAGTCAGAGAGGAAAGCTGTGATAAAGACTTCGGTGATGGAGATATGGGCAGGGGGGAAACTTGCTGTCTTTCTCTGGATCTGTGACTTGCACAGTTATGTCACAGTTTCAAAAACACCAAGGGACCTGGCCGTCTTACTGGGACAGCTGGCGATTGTCAGAAGTCCTGTTTGTCCTAAAGCTTTGGTTTCCTGGAGGCAGCCCTGGCCTCTAATCTTGACTTGTTCTTCCTCCCACGCTTCAGATAAAGGTAGACTGGGATTAATATTTCCAAGCAAAGGTCAGCAGCTCTTCCTTCTTCTTTCTAGAGAACAAAGATAAATCTGTAACGAAGAAGCAGGCAGTGCAGCATTCAATATGAAAATGATTCTTGTACACAACTTGCATTTCCCTTATTTAGGACGAGGTAGGCTGATCGCAGAGTTGAATGGTAGGCTTGTATGTGCAGCTAAGTGGTACTAAAGATTTTTTCTGATCCAGTATTTAATGGATTTGAATGGCTTTTTGAGGTCCCTGGCCAGCTGTTTGAGCAATGTGGTGTTTAGTGAGTGTGAGAGGCACCGTGCTGCTGGCTGTGTTGACCCAAATTCAAAATGGATTTTGGAGTACAGAACAGCAAAATGAATTAGCACAGACAAGAAGCTACAAGGAAATGTGCTTTGTAAGTAGAGTGTAATACTGTAAAGTATCATGAATAACAATGAAGTATTGCAGAAGAATTAAACGTGTACATTAATTTTGCTCCTAATCAGTAAGGTTTTATTTCCCCATTACTTTCATTTGCCCTCCTACGAAAATTCTCTCAGCATTTTTCGCTCCCAGTTCTCTTCTCACTAATGAGACTCCTTCTCTCTTCCTGTTATGTGTGTTATGTGTGTGGGGAGGGAAGAGATTAACATCCGTCCATGGGAGAATTGGAACCTAAAGCTACTTCACTACATTCTGTTGTTTTTGGGTTTGGTTGGTTTTGTTTTCAGTTTGAGAAGTTGCTTGATATTTGCCTGCATTTATTGTCTAGGGCAGTAACTTTTTACTGGGAAACATTGCTCTGATTTTGACAGAAAATATCACTTATTTCTGGTCATTCTGTCTCCACAGGGACCTTTGCCAAATACTTGTGGTCACTTCTGGGAGATGGTTTGGGAACAGAAAAGCCGTGGTGTTGTCATGTTGAACAGAGTGATGGAAAAGGGATCCGTGAGTATTTATCTGGTGTTAGCTATGTGCTCACTGTGTGTTTTGCTTAAAATTAAATTGAAAGAAAAAAAAAAGAAGAGAACTGAAATAGAGGTGAAAAATGTGACTGTAAGTAATTTTACCTAACAAATAGTGCTTAGAATCAGCTACCTGGTGAATCAGTCTTTTAGTCAGAAAACTATCCGGTTCGTACCTGCAGGTCTTAATTTCTACTGAATTTGGTTGAAATAAGGCATTAAAACCATTTGTCTGCAAAAATGAGTATTTGGTCTGCTTCTAACCTAGGTATCTGAATCTAATTCTTCTCATATACAAATTGTGCCTCCAATACACCACGTGTTTATTCAGAAACAATGTGAAATGGCTTTAGTGTAGTTACAGGTTCACCCTGATTCCAAGTTTCCTTCACACAGTAAGAACTCCAGATTTTTAAACCTAACTCCAGCATATACTGCTTGTGCTCCAGGGTCACTGTTTTATTTAAAAAAAAAACTGTTTCAGTGTGAGGAAGATGGGGGTACAATTACAAGTGCTTTTCCTGGTGTCTGTGTTAAACACTGATGTGTCAGTGATGCAGGAGCAGCTGCTAAGCCAGGACATGTGCAGTGGATTTGATTCTGTCACACCTTTTAGGGAGTTTACATTAGACAGGACAGATGATGAAGGCAAACAACAGGTAAATAGCTGAGGTTGTTTTAAGTAACTAACATGATGGCTAAAAGGGGTTGGCTCCTCTTGCACATGGAGTAGCTGCTGTCTTGAGAGGAAATGTCTCAGCCCTTCTGGGGTTGGTGGAGACATGGGGCATTAATTCTATATCTGTGGGTTCAGAGCTTTGGTTGTATGGTAACAGCTGGTGTCCTGTGCTCCTCAGGTGGACTTGGCATCTGTCAAATTTGAGAAAAAAGCAGTTTTAAAAACTGACAGGAATGCACAGTTACAAGTTAAATGTTACAGTGCAGTCAGTATAAAGATGCGCCAGTGGCATAGTGGGCATGTTGGGTATCTACCAGTGATAACTGGTGTGTGCTTCTGCAAAATGGGGAAAGAATTCTCAATCATCAGGAAATTTCTTGTGGAATCAGTTGTGTTTTTAGTAACTGCAGTCTTGATTATGAGTGTGTTGCAAGTGAAACTTAATCTTCAAGAGATGCAGTAACTGTAGTTTTCAATAGTTTCTTCCTTTCCAGCCATTCCCACTTATTCTCTGCAGTGTCAATGGTTTCAAAGAAAATGAATTACGATGATCCCTCAGGGCTGGCTGCTAACCCTTCTGAGCAGACAGCAGTGGGGGACTACAGTGGAGCACAACAAAATACTCTTTACAGGCGCATTTGATAGAGAAATTAGACACCAGTCATTTGCAGTTTCTTAAACGTTAAGACTCAAGAAAGTGCTGAGAATTAAAACTGCCTTCTAGACCCTGAAAACTAAGGGTACTATTTGAATAAAAGCTAGAAGTAGTCCGGGCAGAACTAGAATTAATGTACCATTGATTACATTACTCTGTAGACTTTCCTGGCAGAAATTATCCTAGAGGTGAGATTGCTGTTGTTTTCTTACCAGTATTTCTCCACTTCAGCATTAAATCCATGTTATTGGACCTTCAATAAGAGCAGCACTAACCACGTCCAGCCATCCGTTCCCAAAGAGCTGAGATACGGACAAGTGGTGGCTGTAATCCTGTTTTCAGAGGAGCAGTGCTTAATGACAGAAAGAGCAGGACAGTTCCCACACTCAGAATATCTGTAGTTTTTAATGGTTATAAACTTTCCCATTTGTCTTGCTGGTGAGTTTCTTTTTCTTTAGTTTCAGTTTTTTCCTACACACTGCCCATCTGTTTGGTTGATTTATCTAATGCTGCAGTCTTCTTGCAAAAGTAAGTTCTCTTGGAAAACTTCACTGACAAAACTGAAAGTCAGAAATAGGTAATGGTTGTGTTTGCTGACTGCAGGATTTTTTGTTAGGCTCTTTACTTTCAAAGTGTGCCATGTAAAATTAGAATGATCTCACTGCTATTTTTATTTTTGTGGTAAGTGAAAGAAATAACCCAAAATCTCATCTGATATTATACTTGCAAATTAGTAATGCTGTCGTTCTCTAGTAGCTTAGCTGTTGAATTAATAATTTTTTTTATGGTACATTCTGCTCTTGTTAACATCTCTTCTTTTGAAATGGAAACGTTTCAGTAAGGGTGATGCATAAAATGCAGCATTGACTCGGATTCACATTTTGGCAGTGTTGTACAGCTTTTGTATTTAGAAATTTACTAGACTTTTTGGGTTGTTGTTAATGGTATGATACAAGCTAAAATAAATAATGACTTTGGTGATTTTGATTATGTTCCACCAGAGGTACAGTCCTGTTGCACACTCTTCCAGTTTCCATGCAGAAGAAAGAGCTCTGCTGCCACAAAGCTATCCTCAGTCCTTAGGTATTTTCATGAGTCAGTTGGGGTCAAAATAATTTGACTCGTACCAAACAAAAATTACCAAAGATGTGGTTTTGCAGCATAAAGGAAGGCTGGTATTTTTTGCATTGAAACTCATCCTTATAATAAAACCAGGGGAATATTTAAAGATAGTTATATTTGCTTTTTACACAAGTATAAACAATGCATAAATGGTACCCATTTGTTTTTAGATAAAGTGTGCGCAGTACTGGCCACGGAAGGAAGACAAGGAAATGTTTTTTGAAGATACAAACTTGAAACTAACCTTGATATCAGAAGATATAAAGTCATATTACACAGTGCGACAACTAGAGTTGGAAAACCTTACAGTAAGTACAGGAACTACTACCAGTCACTTCCTTTAATCTCTCTGAGGTGAGACCCTGCTCATCACTAAGGTTATGGAAAAGACTGGTGTGAAATGCAGCAGGTTTTGTGCTGGAATCGATGATTCTGTATGAGATGGCTCTTCAACATTGCCTGGTATTGGAGCATTACTCTGACAGTGGAGAAACACAAAAGCAGTCATTCAAGCAGTGGCACCTGATGGAAAGTTCCTGCATCATGCTGGCAAGGAATATTGCCATTCACTGTCGCTGAATGTGGGTAACTGAAGATAATGTCTAAGGTTCCCAGCGGTGCTGAGCTCAGTGTGCATGTTGTGGCATTCTGGCAACAGTTCTGTTCTGCCCACATGCTGCTCCATACTGGAGGGTATCAATATTTGCTCAACTGTTAGCATCTTGTGCCAGGAAATGTGAGAAAGCAGATACGAATTCGATTGATCAAGTGATAGCTGAGTAAGGATTTGGCTGTTGCAGTTTGTTTGCTGTATTAAGAAGTATATCTGCCATGGGCATGTTTTGGATGGTTGTATCTCCAAATTCTGACAGGATGTGAACACCATTGAGTTAGTAGTCTTGGAAGAAAGTTTCCAAATTGGGAATACAGTGTAAGGGAACATCTGTGATTGTGTGTTTCGTCTGCAGAAGTGGAACAGGCTTCTGTAGCTCGCCGTCCACCATTCTGAGAACTCTTTAAATGGTCTTTAAATTCTGCCATTACAAACTGGTCAGCAGTAGTTAGCTACTATCAGCTAGCTACCTTAGTGCAAGCATTTAACTATACTGAAAAAAGCATAAGGCAGGTTATACGTAAGTTTACTTACCAGTCTCCTTTGCTCAAAACAGAGTCCTTTTACAAAAAGGAATAATTGTAATTAGTTTCTTAGCTGAGCAGATGTGAAAGCCTCCTCAGAACATGGAGCGTTGTTATTTGAATTTAAGTCAACTATTGTAAAGCTGTAATGTCCAGGAAGTAGCAGTGCAGTCTGATTACCACACAAAGCTGAGCTGGTGCTCTCCTCTGTATCATAGAAACCAGATTTACTGCTAACGTTTTTTTCGTAGGCACAAATTCGAAACTGACCTACAGCTATAAACAGTTAATGCTTGAAGCTATGTAACTGACATTTGAAGCTGCCTTTCTTAAGCATGTAGGAGGATACTTGCTAGGAAAATGAACATGTGAGGAACTGTATTTGCTCATTAGAACATTGTTGTAAGCAGCTGTACTTTGAACAGTTTTTGACCTGTGCATCTACCTAAAAGACTTGCTAAGTGCTGTCTTTTACAGACGCAGGAAACCAGAGAGATTCTGCACTTTCATTATACTACGTGGCCTGACTTTGGAGTCCCGGAGTCTCCTGCTTCATTCCTCAATTTCCTGTTCAAAGTGAGAGAATCTGGCTCGCTTAACCCTGAGTACGGACCTGTTGTGGTGCACTGCAGCGCAGGAATTGGGAGATCAGGAACGTTCTGTCTGGTCGATACGTGTCTCCTGCTGGTAAGAAGTGCTGTGTGGCGATGATACGCTGTTTCAGAAGAGCTCCCTCCAAGAGCGCTTTCTTCCGGCTTACAAAAAGCTGCGGTGTTTTCTGTGGAGTTTTCTCATGTTATTTCTCTTATCTTACTCATTCTGGTTTGAGACTGCCTTCCATTTTAAAACTAAGGTAGATCTCATTCTTAACTGGCTGTTTGATTCCAGGAAGGAAAACTCTAGTTTTCAGAGTGATTTGCACGGACAGGCTTTATCTGTGTGGTTAAGAAAAACAGGAGGTGTTTGCTAAATAACAGTGTAAGCTGTCCTTAAACAGTGTGAAATACACCGACGTGTTTCCTTTTACAGAGTCAACTTTGCCATTTAGGGAGGGGAAAATTTTGGTTTTATTCTGTCACTGTGTGAGATCAACTAATACACGGAAGTCAGGCCTGGGTCAGAGTGTCTGTTTCTTAAACTATTTTACTTATTACATCTTCAAAACAAGAAAGACCAAAAAAAGGGAAAACATACAGGATTATAGAGTCCTAGTGCAGTTTTCCATTTCTGTGTCTTTTCTTAGTGCATTAATACTTCAATATGTAGGATGGTCTGAAAGCTGCTCTATTAAGCCAGTCATCATATTGAATCTCATCAGAGCATAAAGTATGTTTCAAATTTTTATCTTCAGATGGACAAACGGAAAGATCCTTCTTCTGTGGATGTTAAGCAGGTTCTGCTCGAAATGAGGAAGTACAGAATGGGACTCATACAGACAGCGGATCAGCTCCGGTTCTCCTACTTAGCTGTTATTGAGGGGGCAAAATTCATTATGGGGGATGCTTCAGTGCAAGTGAGTATCATTGGCTGCAGATCCAGATGTGTAGTAAGCTGCAACATTTTTTTTAACTGTAGCATATAAGTGGGGTCAGTGAACAGAAAGGAGCCTCGAATTACTTTGGCTTCAGTAAGTTTTTATATTGTGCAGTACTTGAATACAGCGCTTTATTACTGACTTCAGAATACTTCCTGTAGCCCTGTAGAGCAATAGGTGGTGCCTGTGTACTCCTCAGCACCTTCACTGGGGTCTAGATTGGCTGCATCTGCCATGTCTTTCATCAGCTTCCTTGTATGATAGAAATTTAAGTATTGCAATGAATTCTTACAGCAGAACTAGCAACATAGGTTCTATTTCATGCTATTTAAAATTTCCAGGAGTAGAGTAAAATTTCTTCCTTTTATCACTGATTATAACTGATGTCTTTGGTGTACTGCAGAGCTTAGATTCGCTATTATTTTTGTCGTCTTCTTTCTCTTTTTTTTTTTTTTTTTTTTTTTTCAATGCAAATGAACAGGCATGCTAAGAATAAGTGAGAAGGTAGAGTGGAAAGCCCCTACCAAGTTAAAGCTACGGTAGTTTACATAAAATAAACAATGGAAAGCATAACAGGACATTTCCTTCCCTGCAGGAACAGTGGAAAGAGCTTTCCAATGAAGATCTGGACCCACCACCTGAACATACCCCGCCTCCTCCCAGACCACCAAAGAGAACCTCAGAAATGCACAATGGAAGGATGCACGAACATGCAGAATTCTTTCCTAAGCATCAAGTGGTAGAGGAAGAGATCAGATGCTCAGTCAGCACTGCTGAAGAGATGGTTCCAGGTGGCAGAGTTTTTTCATCTGTGCCACTGATCACAGACAGGTAATTCATTTTCCCACTTCAGCTTGACCTAAACTTGTTCATAAATTTCATATGAAAAATCCTGAATAGATGTTGACTGAATTAGTATAAGAGCAGTTCCAAAACAAAATCTGTGCGTACTTTTCCATAAAGTTCTTCAGCATTTTTTAAAATGAGATCCTGCTGTAGTGAGAGAAGCAGAATGAGATGGCTTGGTCTCAATTTGCATGTGATGTGTTACAGCAAGTTACACAGGAGCTCTTTCACTGGAGGTGGAATTAGCATGGAGCTGAGAGCTAGGCTGACCAGCTTTAGCTGTACTTAGAAATGTGAAATTAATTCTTTCTACTGCTTTTGATGAAAGGAGTAGAAGGGGCTCATGAACAGAGAACTTTTCTACCTGTCATTGTAACCTCAATGGTCAACCTTGACAAATACGTGGAAATGCTGTGTGAAGTGAGGTCTGACAGTGGAGAAGCCCAGGTTGCTACCTGCCAGCCACTAGATGTCCCTCCTGCCTTATCTGAGTGGCGTGGAGCTGGATGAAGTCAAGCCTCAATGTTAACTAATTTATTCAGAACAGCCAACAGAAAATAAACTTTTACAAATAATTTTTGAAGAACCACCAGAGATGATTAATGAGAAGTTTGATTTTTTTCCCCCACTAGCTGGTCTTCTAAAAAGACATATTCAGATTCACATCTGGGAATTCTGGAATAAAAATACCAAGTTTTAGTATTTTCTGCAGCACCGTAAAGTTTTTTCAACAGATGCAGCTGTCAGACTTGATGTATTTTATTTAATCAGACCAGTGAGGGAGTGAATGACTCTGCAGACTGGAGATCAGTAGTGTAAGTTCCCAGCAGTCTTCCTTCAAAATAAACTTCCTCTTAATTTCACAGAGCGCACGGAGGCTGAGAACATGAACCTGGTATCTCTCCAAATTCTGCAGGAGGCAGAAATAAAATGAAAGTGTTCTTTGCCTGCTTAATGGAAACAATGTTTAAATTGGGATTTTGTTTTTTAATTCAGTGGGGGAGATTTGAGAAGTGAAATACTGAAATTCCAAATGCCTTCACTACAAAGAAAGAGAATCTTGGAAGTAGGAGTAGAGAGAAACAAAGATGGGCTTGCTCAGCCTGGAGAAGAGAAGGCTGTGAGGAGACCTCATTGCAGCCGTCCAGTGTTTAAGAGGGATTATAAAAAGGGAAGGAATCAGCTTTTTACTGGGGTAGGTAGAGATAGGGCAAGGGGAGGGGTTTTAAGTTTAAGGAGGGGAGGTTGAGATTGGATGTCAGGGGAAGCTCTTTACAGAGAGTGGTGAGGTGCTGTCGCAGCTGCCCAGGGAGGTTGCGGATGCTCCATCCCTGGAGGTGTTGAAGGCCAGGCTGGATAAGGCTCTGTGCAACCTGGGTAGTACCAGATCCGGAGGGTGGTGGCCCTGCCTGTGGCAGGGGGACTGGAACTTGGTGATCCTCGGTGTCCCTTCTAACCCTAGGTGTTCTGTGATTCTCTAATTCTATGAAGGCTTAGCTACAAAAGAGAAGTGTTACAATAGCAACACCTTCCTCCTTTCTTCCATCAGGGACAGTTTAGTTCTGTTACCAGAGTATTTGCCTGGGATGTGAGATAACAGCTAATGCTTTCTTTGCCTAATGAGGAACATGGATAGAAAGCTTGTATCTTATGTCATCAGCTATGTAGATCTGAATTAATCAGTGGAGAAATGATTTCCTGGAAATTCTTTACACAGTTTCGTCTAAATGAATGTAAGGCATGTCCAGCTCAGAGACATACGTTAATTTTATTACAGGCACCAGTCTGAGGCTGGGGCTGAGTCATCCTCTGGAACTGCTTGTCTTCCTTTTTAATTATGAGGTTGGCTTGGACTAGACATCTGCTCGTTACCTTACTAAAGTGAAATCCAATCTTAATGCAGTATTTGACATTAGGAAAGGCTGGGATTTGAATCCTGAGATCCTGAATTCCATAGCATTACTGTAGTTGCAAGGTGAGGCTTCCTTTTGATCGCTGCTCTTGTCCTCATTTCTAGGACAGTGAGTCCAGAAATGATGCAAAAAAAACATGCTAGACAGGAAGGGGGAGGGCAGGTTGATATGAAAAGGTGAGGCAGAAAGAGGCTGGAAGAAGTGGAGCAGTGGATATGGACAAACTGGCAGAGGTGAGCAAAAAGGCAGACGCCTTAAGCATGGGCTTTTTTCCTGCCCTAGTCTGTTGCTTGACATGACAGATTGCTGAGTTTTATACTTCAGCTGCCAGAAGATGTATAGGAAATCCCTGTCCAATGCAGCTCCCAGCTGGTTTCCACTCTACTTGTTCTCCCAGCGTGGTGATGTTCTGCTTTCTAAATTCAGATGGAAGAAGCTATACAGTAGATCTAAAAGTTCCAGTTAAGAAGCCTCTCTGGGTGTCAACAAGATGGAGATTTTTATCTAGAAAAAAAGCATTAAAGACTATTAAAGATGGAGTAATCCTCAGCTCCATCACAGTGCTCCTTGCTGCTCTTACGAAAGCACAAACAAACCGTAATTTCATCACTTTCTGAGCAGCTGCGTGGTTTCAGAACCCTCATGTTCTCCTCGGCTGGGTGTAGGCTGGCCCTTTCTTGTCTCAGTGGCTGCGGAGGCAGCAGATTTAGGATGAGCAGTGCAAGAGGTGGTGAAGGATAGGTCAGTTCATTCTTTAAAGGGTAAATCCAGTTCTGAACATCTATTTATTTGTCCTTAAGCACTAGTCAAGACACTGAAATTCGGAGGAGAACTGTTGGCGAAAACCTGCAAGTCTCGGCCCACAAAGAAGAGTCGATGAAGTCGGAAAGCATAGAAGAGGATGATGAGAACATGATGACAACTTGGAAGCCATTTCTAGTGAATATATGCATGTTCACTTTCCTCACAGCAGGAGCTTATCTCTGCTACAGGGTATGTTTTCACTGACGGACATGCCAGCACAACTGACCCTGCAGAAAACACCAACGATTTGATCGGTTTGTAATAAGCTTCTGTACAAGAAAGCTTCTTGAGGCACGTGAGCCTTATCTCAGCAGAGATAGATCTTAAGTTGAAAGGCCAGAACTTTGGTTAGGGCTTAAAGAGAGAATTGATGCACTAGGGTTTCAGCTAGCCCTGTGGTCCCAAGAACATGATATTCTAATCTCAGGGCCTTAAAATATTCAGGAGTAAGCAGAGAAAATGCCAAATAGTCCGTTTTTCTTTTTTTCTTCCTTTTTTTTTTTTTTTACTAAATGATAGAATTACAACACATTGTTGTTTTTAGCCTTTTTTAAAAAGCCAGTTCTTTTTCTTTTGTGTTTCAGAAAAGCTAGGCACAAGCGAAACTTGCTTGTATTCTCCAAGTGTTGTAACCAAATACATCACTTACATCATTGAGTTCCCAAAAAAAAGAGGAAAAACAAACCCACATACCTGAAGAATGTAAACCTTTTGGAAGGGGTAGGGGGCAGCTATGATTGGGTGGGTTTTTGGTTTGGTTTTATTTCTAACTTGCTTCATCTGTTAAAGACTGAGTGAGTTGTGGGCAGTGCCTGTGGTATTGATGTATTTAATCTTGGGAAAACTTTTCTGAAAGAGCTTATTGTTTTACGTTGTTTATAGAAACAGGCTTCTGCATTTGCTCAGGGTATGCCAACGTGTCCAGCTCTTTTTTTCTTTTTTCTTTTTTTTAAAGAAATGTATCTTCTCATTGACTTTTGTTGCGCTCTACTTGCACATATACCTATTTACATTGCACCATCCTTTGTAAAGCTGTTTTTACATTTGTATTCTGGGTTAGGAGAAATTGAGGGGAGGGAAAGAAACAAGAAAGAAAATTCAACCAAAACATGTCCACCAGCATTTTGAAGCTGTTCAGTTGGCATTCAGAAGGACCAGTTCATAAGCCTCATCATTTGGAATGTAAAATGCAGTTTCAGTCTACATCTGCTTCATAAGGAACAGTGTGCTTTGTGCCACGGCCGGGAGGTCGTGTGCTCAGAGGCATTGCAGGTAAGCATGGAAAGCACGTCAGGAAAACCAGAGCCTCAATCCTGTGGCAGCTTCCTTAAGACAGAAAGTTCAACAGAAGACATGTTGGCCTCAGAACGCATCAGCTGGCTGCTGATGCAAGCATTTGTGTGTTTTGCTTATTTTAAAGCAAAGATTTAGAATACTGGTGTATTTGGCTGAAGAGAAGCTGTTGGGTGACCGTGGGACAGAGGTGTGTGTGGATAAGCCTGGCACCTCTGCAGACACGGATGTTGCTGTCCTCAGTAACGTGGGCTGACAGACGGGTGGTTTTGTTCTGTGCCGTGCTGTGCCAGGGGTCTGCTCAGCTGGAGCCCAGCACTTGAATAATCTGAGTGCTTGCAAATGAAGATTTGGGTGCATTGGTAGAATTGTGACTGGAAGCTTGCGTTACACTGAGCAGCAGTCTTGGTCAATGCTGCTCCTCACATTAGTACCAAATTATTACAACTTAAACAGTAATAGGGAAGAATTATTTGCTGATGTCATGGAACAGAAGAGTTAAATTCACTACTAAAAGCTGTGGTGAATGAAACCAAACCATGTTGGCTGATCTGCAACAGCGTTGCTAATCAGTTCCTTTTGTTTTTAAATGCTTTATGGCACTTAACCACCATTCTCAGTGCAAACATCACTATGGAGTATCTTAAAGTCTTTCCACTCCACGTTTTTCATTTTTGCAAAGCTGTCTGTAGGTGCAGCTCTTTTCCTTCGGTGAATAAGGAGGTGAGATGGGGAGCTGTTTCTTTTCTGTCTTTTGTTAAGCTTGCATCAAGGGCTTTTTACAAGTACAATATTAAATCCTCAGGTAGTACTGGGAATGGATACTTCACCTGTGGGATTGTTGGTCAGACCAACAGTCTGTACTTTCCAGTACTGGAAAGGAGGAATGCTGTAACCAGTCAATATCTGGTGGTATTACTGGAATCGTGAAAAATGAGTGTAGAAAAATGGTAATATATAATGGCTCATCTGTGTATTTAAGATACAGCGTGTGATTGCTTTCTCTCCACTGTTCTCTCCATCGTTTGGTAGAACACTGTTCTAAAGCAACATTCATACATCATTTGTATTAGAATGCATGTAAAGTCTTCTAGTGTCCTGATTAAATGCCATGTGCTTGAAAGGTGAAAGAAGTTCTATTTCTGCTTACTGATGTGCCCAAATTATATTTGCATGAACTGATCATTAAGTGGCTGTGGTTCAAAGGCTGCTGCTGAAAGCATCTTCGTTCAGCGGCAGATGGACTTGGTGTTTATCAGACAACATGTACTCGCCTGATCCTTGGCATGACCTCCTATTAAATTTCTGCGTATTCAGCGTAACCTGGTTGTTAGCATGGTTCATTTCAGCTGAGTGAGTATAGTACAGACATTCCAGAGTGCGTGGTAAGCTGTATTCACACCTCACCTCTGCTCGTGGGTGGCAAGCAGGAGTTGGTGACTCTGGGGGGGACTTGCTGTGCTGCCTTCAGAGCTGCACTGGAGGACAAAGAACCACCTTTTTTTGCAAGACTGCCACAGTTGCTTTGCAAAGACACAGGTTCTTAAATGGCGTGATTCTCCTCAAAAAAAAAAAGCCAAACAGAAAACAAACTGTCCTGTTCCCAAGAAGGGATGTTTAGAAACGGTAGCATGGGGAGGAAAGTAAAGCATCCTCCCTTTGAATCCAGCATCCAGTTGCACCGTGCTTACAAATTACTGCAGTATGAGAACGTTCCTGCAGAGGAAGTTCTGAACACCCTCTCTTCTGCCTGTGTATTTTTCTTGTTTCTGTCACCCGTTCCAAATTCAGGAGAACTTGTGCTGTCCCTGTGAGGTGTGGATAGAGCTTGTAATACTGAACTGTAAACATTTTTGTTTTGGTGTCCTGTATGTGTACGTAGTAGTTTCGGTGTGTATATACAGTAGCATTTCAAAGTGGGTGTATTGGTTAACCTGTTCTTGGAAAATGGACAAATATCCATGTTAAACTTGTTAGAAAGTTAGTGAGCTGCTCTGCTATCTTGCCTTAAGCAAATATTTACGCATCAGGTCTTTCTTTTTTTACAGATCACCATAGAATAAACTTTTTAAAAAAAATAAAAACCAAAAAAGTTAAATGTTTTGGTATAACACATTTTCAGGTATTTTGTCTTTTGTGTAAGTCACTGCAAAGACCTCAGAAGTTATAGTAAAACTGTACAGTTTTCTCAATTTCCCATACAAGTTTTCAGTTGCCATTTCAGTTGTAACAATAAAATTCTTTTTTTAAAGAACGTACCCGCGTCCCATCGCTGTGTTTCCTCAGAGCTGCCGGCGCCTGCTTTGAATTACTTGCAAATCTGCACTGATGGTGTTTATTTCTCTTCCTGGAAAGGGCTTGAAGCGTTACTGTCAGAGCTCACTTATAGGTCGGAGCTCCAGGAAGAGGAGTGCCCCGTTCCGTGCCTCTCCCTGCCACGTTCATCCTCCCCTCCAACACTTTAGTACGTTGGATCAGGGATTGGGGTCATATACGCATCACCGTGCCTCCGTTACGAGTTTGTGCAGGAGTTTCTGTTGTGCTTTAGCCAGGGAAGGACTACAGGATCGCAGCACTTCCATGCTCTTCGAATTAACGTAATTTTTGTTTAGATTTTTAAGAAAGCTACAACTGGAGAAGTGCTCGAGATTTTTCAGCGGTTCCACAAAGCGGCGCCGAAGCAGCTGCGGTAGCGCTGCACTCAGAGCCCGCCCCCCTCACCGCCCCTTCCAGCCAAGGGGAGGAGAGGAGAGGGCAGCAGCTGCCGGGCCTGCAGGGAACTTAGCGGGGAACGCCTGTCCCTGCTTGGAAATAAATCTGCAAATGAAAAGCAGAGTTACAAAATCTATGAGCGACCGCCTCTGAGTGCGGTTAAAGCTTGCTATGCAGCAGCGTGACGTGAACACCGCAGTTCAGAGCTCAGGAGAGCAGAGCCGCGGGGTTTCAGGATGCTGCACGTTCCAAGGCAATACTGATAGCACAGCAGCAGCCCAGCCTGCTTGGACTGCACAAGCCTGAAGCTGGCAGAGCGGATAGGACGGGGTGGATGAAGGGTATAGTGGACACACAGCCTGGCTTGGAATGCAGAACCTAAATTGCCGTTCAGATGCACCTCTCCCCATCGCTCTGTCCGTACGGCCACATGAAGGATGTGCAGGGTTTGTCTCAAAAGTTTTATTAGAAGACCAGAAAGTATGAAATCCAACAAATAAATACTGAATAGAAAAAGTATTATATATAAAATATATACACACAGGCCTTTTCAAGTATTTTACCTGTAGCCAGACTTCACATCATGGTTACCACTTTCTCCTGCACTAAGCGGAGAGTAAGGAGCCTGGCAGTGGGCATGTGATTATACAAACCTTGACCTATGGTTAAAGGAAGAAAATGCTTTTTTTCCTAAAAAGCTTACACAGCTCCGTCTGTATGGCAGTCTGATTTGTACATGGCTAATATGATAAATAACTTCCCCTCGTCAACTGCAGAGGATACACACTTTGTCCTTGCCAACCCCTGCTCAAGAAGCCTGTCCTACGTTGCACTGATTTAAAAAAAAAAATAATAAAAAAAAAGCTTTTGAAACAAGGAGCCATTGTTCCTTCTGCAGCAAAATTCTATTAAAAAAAGAGAAACCAGCAAGCAATACTGCTAGATTTTCTAATTCACATGGCAGCTGATGTAAACAACTGGCTGTCAGCAAGGTTCTAGGATGGACTATTGGAGCACCATCATTTCATTCTTTGTAGAAATGCAAACAGAACAGATGGCACACAACTGAGTTTGTGTGGGCGCAGCCAGTTCTGTGACACAGGCTTCAATCATGCTGCAGCCTGGTTTGACATTCTTACGGACCCCAGTTTGTTTTTTTCTTCAGCATTTCAGATTATCAATACTGAAAGTGAAAAGAAAAAACAAAGATTCCAGTCTATTTGATTTAGATTGCAAACTGTGTCCACCTTGGAAACAAAACTACTGTCAGTAGGCAGCATGTACATAGCAGAGTGAAAGTAAAGATGCTGATAAGCAACAAAAGTAAACCCTCAGGTACCCACAAGTAGCTGTGAGGAAAGCATGACTTAGCTCCTTATACTCCACTAGAATACTGTGATCTCAATTTCAGCCTCCTGCTGCACAGCATCCCTCAATTCACAGCAAATCCTGTCCATTTTCTCAAAGGCTTGTCGTCCCTTTTCACCTATGAAGAAAGAAAATACATCTCACACTGAGGAAAACAAAGCAGTCAGAAACAACCTGAGAAAAGCAGTAGTGAGAAATACTTCTGTTGTAACTTTGTACAGAACTAATTAGGACTCTCAGTAGTGACAGATCTCTGTAAAGCAGTGATGTTCAAAGCCCTGCTACAAGTCACCATGGGAAAACTAAGTTTAAAAAATAATCAGGCTCTCTGTAAACATTTCCACATGATTAACAACATGGAGCATCACAATTGGAAAATGTGTTTTGTAATGCATGTGACTCTTAGTATTTCTGTGAAGTTAGTCTGGAGATTCTCAGAAGAGCATGACTCTTAAGTATTTTCAGGAAGAACAGAGCAGGGAAATTACCACCATCTCCCAGATGACTGCATCCTCCCTGGGAGCTAAGCCTTTCAGGTTCTCATCCTAGACAATTCTCCTTTGCCTTCAGTAGAAGTACAAATACCAGCCAGTAGCAAAGAACCTCAAGATTTGACTAGCAGCTCAACTCCAAGGTACATTCACTGCATTCAGTAACACACACAGAACAATTCTGACTACACTTAATAACCCTCTGGTATTCAGAACAGAGCAGTTTGTAGAACAGGAATAGGAAAAATACAAGGAGCCAGTCCATTTGCAGGTGGCTAAAGGCGATCGCCAGGCCAAAGTATTCTGTTGCTGTTGTGATACATAAAAGATCTTCAGTTTAGCTAATGTCACAGAGCAGAACCAGTGTAATTTTAATCCCTTGGATCCAAATAGCATTTTTACAAAAGGTAGAAGGGGAAAATCGCTGATGCCAGTACTACCATCAGTAAGTACTCCAGCAGCACTGTCAGCAACTTAAGTGCTTATCTGCCATACTTCAAAAAATTGAGTGGTTCTTAAAGCACCTTATCCTACAATAATCTTGGTCTGGTTTTAAAAAGAGTAATAGAAGCCTTTGGTTGTTATGTGTGGCACAAAGTTGGTTACTGCATGTGGCCCCTTAATGGTATGAAATAGCCGTTCATGAAACACTCCCGTTGTCTAAGATGTGTTCAGGCTGTACAACACAAGCAGAGCTTCAGACCTGTTCTGGTTTTGCACCATTTCACACTACTTTTTGGAATCTGCATTTTAAGTTGCATGAAGACTTACCAAAGGACAGCGTTGTTTCCCTGGCTGCATTCCTTACATCCTCTGTTTCAGACTGGCACAGGTGGGCAACCTGCTCAATACTCTCTATGCCCTATTTGAGAGAAGTGCAATGGTAGCCTATCAGCAAACATTTTGATGAACACTTTTCCAAAGCAAACTAACTCCCATTTCTTCTTGTGTCTGACTGTGATCTTTCTTTTCTCCCCTAAGGTATCAGCTTGCACTTATTTTTTCTGAGCATGATATCACTTCTATTTTATCCTTTCTCTCCTGTTTTAAGACATAGAAAAGTGTTAAAACTCTGGTCCCCAGTTCACTGCTTCAGTACTGTTAAATTAGCATAAAACAGTTGGGACCTTCACTGAAAAGTTGTGCCATGGCAACACTTGCTTAGCAGATCTGACTTTGAGAGTAAGACTTGCTTGTCAGGCCTATTTTATGGCTACGTTTGTACTATCAATAATCCTGTCAGTGCAAACTTATTACAATTGTTTATAATAGCAATACAAATACTATTTGTATTTTCTGACTATTATCAGCAGTTATTAAAATAAGATCAACTGATTTAACTTCTACAGTTAAAGAGTAAGAACTGACTCCACACACAGACGACTCCACTGCTCGCTCTCCTTCACACCAGATGTCCTCAGTCAGGCACTATCTGCTGTGGTAATGCTGGAGAAACTAGAAAGCACTCTTCTACCATTCTGCCATGCCTGTCAGATTAAACTGAGACACCCCTTCTACCTGCTGCTTTTTAATAACAGCAGTAATATTTTGGAACTCTGGAAGGCAAAGAATTCATTAATTCCAGATAAAAGAAAGATGAAAGATGAAATCCCCGCCAGATTTAAAAGCAATCTGCCAGACACGACAAGAAACAAGTAGAGTTATAAATACTTACTCTGAGATTTTTAAGGGCCAAACACGCAGCTTGCTGAAGTCTTGTATCACAGCCAACTAAAACATCAGTGTAAAAAAGGAGAGCCTGAAAGATAAAAGTTTTATACATCTCAGTATAATCAAGCACTCAAATTCAGACCAACACTAGCTTTGTTTATCTGTGTGAAATTGAATAAAGGTTACAGAAAAATCACCTGAGCACTGACTTGGTTTCAGTTCAAGGTAAAAGATTAATGAAGTGCGCAGAGGGTAACAGTACTATTTCAAGACAAAACAAATAGCATGCATTTCAGCACCTAATTAGAAAAGCTGAGAAGAAGTAAGTTTTAACCTTTTCCCTAAAGTTCTTGTTTGCTGCTGCACGGGAGAGGCAGGATGTGGCTGCTTTGCTGACGCGGTGGTTGTCATCAAGCTGTAAAATCCCAAGTAGCCGCAAAGTCTGCGGTAGAGGCTGGAGCCGATTCAGACGCTTCCCTTTCAATTTTTTAAGGGTCTTCAGCCGTCCAGGGCACTGTAGCTCCTCAATTAGCATCACTGCATGTGAAAGGACTTAACATCACAACACGGTAAACGAAGACATTTCCACACGATTAACTCCTCTAACTCTGCCTCCTTCAGCCACGGGAAGTTGTTCAAATGGTAAATAAGCATGCTAAATATGGCAGGGAGCAAATCAGGATGACTGCCCCTTTAGCAACCCAAAGAAGTGCCTTCTTTCCCTTTCATTGTTTCATAGAGCAGTGACTACTATTTCACAGCTCTAGCTCATAGGTACAACAAAGCCCTGCTCTGTAACAGGCCCAGGTGCATGGCGTACAACATACAGTGCAAGAAATCTGCACCTTTGGACATTACAACCACCAGAACATTCCTAAAATAAGGACGAGACAATCAAGCATAATACTTCTTTTAAACAGCTCAGAGAGATCGAGCTGCATCAGTTGAGAAAAGCATGCCTCTCTTCAGAAAGAAGAAATGAGACACTAGATTGGCAATTTGAAGAATATTATGGATCTTTTTCACCAGTGATGCACAAGTTCTCAGTCTCCTAACAGATAAGTAATTTCCACCAAAATAAGATTGAAGACACAGCCAATATCAGGATCATTTTGAAAATAATTTTCTAACACAGACAAAGCTTAAAGTGTCTTCATGCTGTTAAGTTCAGCCAGACACTGGCTGCCTCTGAGAACTCACGCGTTAGTAAGCTCTGAAATGTCATTGCTTTTGTCTGTCATCACTGCGGATACAGTCACACAGAACTACAGGCAGTTATCCAGGCCTTTAATCTAGACGTAGATTGTTGCTAAACCAGTTTCTGTTTAAATTTCAGGATATCTCACAACCCTCCCCCCCCTTTTTTTTTTTGGACACTTATGATGAACTTTTTTTTTTTCACACCTGTTTCGTTTCTACCTGCTCAGATGTGAGAGTGAAGCATCTCTGTCCTATTTGTGTTAAAATTGTGTGGTCATAAGAGGAACTAAAACAAATTGGCAGTGCAGTGCTGGGCTGTTCTCTGCTCTGGAAGTTGATCTGCACCAGTGAAGTTGATCTGAACCTGTGCCTAGTGCTGCCATTACCTTCTTTAGCAAGTCTTCCTACGTGTTTTTCCAGGCTTGTAATCCGGTGTTTCTCCAGGTAGCTGTAAAACTGGAATAAAGTAACTGGTTCTGTTTGGAGATATGGAGAAGGCAGCAAGCCATCACAGGTGACGATCTGCTCTAGCAGTCTTTGCAAAACTGAAAGTAACAGAAAAGAACAAATGAATAAAGGAAATGCTGCAGAGCTGCCAAAACAAGGTGTTCTTTAAATGCGTAAGGATAATTTTCACTCTTGTGATAAGATTCAACTGAAGCAGCCTTTGGCTCAAGGAGCAGAGTGGTACCTGCTTCTAATTGGCCAGGGTACTTTTCCTTCACTTTGACTGCCAACGTGTACTTCAGTACGTGACGGAATCTTTCTGCTGAAGCAAAGAAGATACTGCCAGGTTCTGCAACATCACTCCAGATTTTCAGATAGTGCTTCTTCTTCTTAGTCTTCTGAATAACTGTAAATCATAGTTCAGGAAGTTAGTGAGCTTTAGCAGATTTTGAATTTTACATGAGAAATTAGGCACCAGATGCCCATCTAGATACGTGTTCACATAAATTAAATCTGCGTTATATAGAAGGCTGTGTTCAAAGCTGGAGGTTTCCTGCCTGTATTTTAATGCTGGCGATCACCCATGTCGGCAAGCTTGGATTGTGGCCTCAAACTGTCATAAGAAGACCTGAATGAGATGCCTTAGCAAAGCTCTATTGCCCTTTGGATCATCATTCATTTTTCCCTATCATCAGCGTCAAGTTGCAAAAGAATCTTCTGTGAGTTTAACTGTTTTCACTTCTACCAGCTAGAGGCAGAACTTCCCAGCATTTCAGAAGTTCTTCATTACGTACCCTCACAAGAGGAAAATACTGAACCTACGTATATAGGCTGAAGGAGACTTTCTTCCATCAAACACTTTATAAAAGCAATATCCTGCAGTTTCTTGGTATCACTTAACCCCTATCACCTCTTCTACGCAGAAAGAGGTTGAATTTCTGCTCTGCATTTAGGTCTCCTGCACTTCCACCGTGTTTTGCTACAGGCTCTTCTGAGCCTTGCTCTGAGGATCCCTCTATTTTCACATCCTTCAGATCAAATGTGTCAGCAAATACTTCCGGCTAAAATCTGCATTTCTTTCTCTGCACCTTACAAAGACGAGAACAAAAGCCTTTGAGTCTCCCACTGTGCTCTTATTGTTTTGTTTTCTCCAGCAGTTAATGGAAAGAATAGGGCAAGATCACTGTACACCAAACTACTCTTCGTAATGCATACAAAAGCAAAACAGGTTAGTAAGCTAAGTAAAATAATAAGTGACTTTATCAATGCTATTTTGCTGTTCTCTGCAAGTTCCATTGTCTGTAACACACCCCTATTTCTAAGGCACAACACACCATTCAGCTGTTTCATGAGCCAGACTTCAATTTTTTATTTCCTTACAAAAGGAAAACAAATCGTGGCCTCTGTTTTCTCATAAATAAATAAATACATAAATAAAATACATAAAATGAGAAATTATCTGTAAGAGCTTTTTAAATTATGTGAATATTTGTAAAGAATTTAAAAAGAAACTCTGACGTGTCTGGGAAAGCTCAAGGTCTCCCTGTAGCTCTCACATCCCTGGCAATGCGTTTACTCACTTTCTTCCACAGACAAATCCAAGACATCCCCCAGGACTCGCAACTGCTCTGACACTTCTTCCAAAACATTCTCTTGGATGATCTGGGCTACATTTGGTGACCTCAGTTTCTGAAATGCAACATGCTCATCTCAGTAGCTGAAACAAAGGCAGCATCAAGCTCAAGATGAATATTTGTTTCATAGAAGCACATATCTAAAATCTGTAAGAAAACACCAGATTCTCTCCAAAGACCACTACTCTCATCACAGCACCACCTTGTTTCTGAGCACAAAGCTGACAAGCAGAACAGGATAAAGTGACATCCTACTGGAAAAGGCTGTCCAGCATTCCAGATCCATGCCTGCCTCATCCACTGACAACCGTGAAGCAGATCAATACTAAAAGTTACACTGTACTCCCCTGTACTCTGCAGGCCATGCAAAGCAGATGACAAAATTTGCTTTGAGCACTGTAACTGAATTAGTTGGTGGACAAGATCTCAGAGAGAGAAATACTCTTTTTTCCCCTGAGTGCCACCAGTTTCTTCCTAGAGCTAGGGGTTTTTCCATTTGCAAAGAAAAAAAAAAACAAAAAACAAAAAACAGTTCACCTGTTACCGACACAAAATTCAACCCAAACCAGCCTCCTGCAGCCTGCTTTAGTTACCAGAAGTTCAAGGAAACCAAGAGGCTGTAAAAAGACAGCCCTTGGATGACATTTGCATGACATCTTCTGTGCACATCCATATATACACTGCTGCACTGCTGGAACTCAAATGCTATTCTGAATCTTTTTGCTTTTGAAAAAGAACCAGCTATACATTCATTTTGTTCTGTACTCAAAAATCAACAGCTACAACGATGACCTCAGAATCCCATCGGCTATTTCCTACCTGCAGGAGAGCTTTGCACAGCTTCAGATGAGTTATTAAAAGTACATCTAAGTTGTCATCTCCCGTAGTTACATCTCTTGTTTCTGTTTTCATATCACAGCTCAGGGACTGAAACGTGTTGTCATTGTACGTGCTGCTTTGAAGAGGAAAGAAGGAATTAAAACATGACCTCATATTACCAAATCAGGATGAAAACATGCATTCTCACTAGAGTGCAACCCTCATTTTTGCAAGTTCAAATAAGTTGCAGAAACATAAACCAGGTGGCATTTAAGACACAAAAGCACTTTTTAGTGCATTGATAACACTTCTTAGAGAACATGCGGGCTATTTCTAGAGCTAGAAATAAATTGCACAACCAGAAAATTCTGTTTTGGAGAACCAATAATAGAAAAATGCTTCATATAAATAGAAAAAGAAAGTGTGACTTGAGATAATGGGTCATTTGAGTCAAAACCCCTTGCTTTACTCCCAGTTTGATGACACTGGGAGTGTAACAACTCTCCAAGGACCAGGTCACAGCTCTGGAACACAAGTTCCAGTGCACACAACTTGGAGAATACAAAAAGAACACTCAAAAAAGCAGGTAGAAGAGCTTGTAAGACATATATAGCTCTCTCCCTCACTAGTGCAGGACTGTTCAAGGCTATCCAGACAACCCTGCTTGTAGTACTCTTGCATATTAGGCATTCCACCACATCCCAAGGGTATCATTCTCCAGTGTTTTTCGTATGTTCAGTTCAAGCTTCCTGCTGTTTCAGTCTGGCATTCTGAATTATGAATCTCAGAATATTAAAAAAAATAAATTGTTTCTATCTTAGATGTTCACACTTTTAGCACCTCTGTACAACCTGTACTAAGCCAAACATAGTCTATCAGTAAGTGTTCTGGGACCATCTTTGCTTTTCCCTTTACCTTGCCACCTACAGTGAAGTGCTGCAGACACCTACCTGATACTGGCTGTTCTTATGCTTCCAAATAATGAAACCTCATCAGCACTACAGTCAGCATTTAAAAAGTTAAAACTTTCCAGCACCGTCTCCACCATTAAACTTTCCACAGATGAATGTTTGTGATGAAGTGTCCTTAGCTTTTGAAGAATGAAGGGAAAAATATTGTTATTTGCAGATATTAAATCATTTTACACGATTTTTTGATTGATTTTTCAAATTGCTCTTACTAACAAACCAATTTCCTTCTTTTTTAATTTTATTCTTAACATATCAGAAGAGTGAGTTGTTGGTACACCACTGATCCCAAAATACAGTTGCTGATTAATTTCACGGTGTGCATCAGCATTTTCATTTGCATTCTTCTTTGTATTTCCACATCTCTTAAGTTTGGTACAAGAGCTGACTTTTCTGTATCTCTTGCCATTAGTGTAGATCTAGAAGTAGCAAACTGAAGGCTCTGCTGCATGACAGCATAGCGTCTGTCTTAATTTCAGCTGGGACAGAGTTGTTTTTTGAAGGTCTGTGTGGTGCTTGGCTACCTGTCAAGTTAAACTACAATAGTACCCAAGAACTTAAACATCAGTGTGGATTTCATGGGGCCACTAACATTCTCCCCCTGGAAAAATCTGCTTTGGGAATATTTGCTTTGTTCTTTTTTTTTTAAATTCCTATAACTGAAGTGATTATATTGAGGTAGAAAGTCAGTGCAGCGCTGTTAATGACATTTACTACTTCAGATCCCAAATGAAGTCTTACAGCATCATGTCTCCCAAGTCTGCATGCTAGTCCACACACTAAGATGATAGGAAATTTACAATATAACCCAATGCTTGCATAAAGTTCTTCTGCAGGATTTTTCCTCTAAGTAAAAGTTTCCAGCAACATATGGTTAAAAAATTCACTTGACAGATTGAACTGCCTACAAAGACTAGGTCATGAGAAATTTTGTGTGGCAAATAAATTAGAAACAAAATACAGGGACTCTGATGTGTAGTCAAGATCCTGTTTGCGTTTAACCCAGATGAGCTTCAACTTTGACTACTTGCAGTTTCTTAATTTCTTTTGACAGATCATTGACCTCTGCATAGCATTTGGCCACCATCCCTGAGAGATGCAGCACAGTACTATTGTGCAGTCAGCTCTGCAGACTGTCTTTTCTGACTAGGGCCTGACCCCTGGTGGCCAGACTTATTTTTTAGGAACATGCCATTGATACAACCCAATGTCAAATCCACTACAGGGTCACAAAATTTTAACCTCTTAGAAATAACACTGAAAACTACATCACCTACAAGTGTTAAAACATTACCATACCTTTAATTTATCCCTCAGAGTTAAAACTTGGTATTCCAATTTCTCCAGCTGGGCTTGACCAACACCATGGAATTTTAGCAAATTAAACACTTCTTGGAGAGTCTTGTCAATTGACTTTGTACATCCATCCAGTTTTACATCATTTGCAGCATTCAAGCTTTTCTGGCTAATGCTTTCTTGTTCTGTCAGATGGCGACTTCTGGTCTGGTTTAAACTTCTACTGCCTTTTCCACGACTCAGGAAACTAGATGGGTTACTTGAAAATGTGTCCACACATGGAGTCTTCTTCAGAATATCTAGAGTTGAATGATTTGGAAGAGGCTTTTGCTCTTCTGCACAAGTCTCTTGAATAATCATCAATGGCAGTGTCCTATGGTCTAGAGCTGGAAGTGTAGTTCTGGATTCTGTCCCTCTCTGATCCTCAGAGCTGAACGAGTCTCCTTCACTTGTCTCTGCTGGACTGTGAGATTTACTTCTCTCGTGTGTACCAAAATCACAGGCAGCCAAGTAACTCAATATGCTAGGAGGCTGAGCTTCACCACTTACATCCCCTTGGTTCTGTCTTTGTTGCAAAACAGACTGCAAACAAATTCATAAGTGAGCACATATACAACCGAAAAGCATGACATGCCATCCAGGATGCATAACCATGGTTTCCTTTTCTTAAAAACACATGCATTCAAACTCATCAAAAAACCACTGGGCCATTCTGCATAGAGGAACTATGCTGCATAGATTGGACAGAGGAAACCAACATAACAATGTGGTAAGAGCCTACTGAAAGAACTAAATAAGAAGAATGGAACAGTTCTGTTGGAATGGAACTACAAAGATCAAGTCCAACTGCCTGACCACTTCAGGGCTAACCAAAATTTGAAACATATTATTAATGGCATTGTCCGAATGCTCCTTGAACACTGACAGGAATGGGACATCAACTACCTTGATGGGAAGCCTGTAGAAACTCAAGTAATAACTACATGTTATCAGATGAAAGTTACCAGGACAAGCGTAAAACCAGTTTGGAAAGAGTATGTTGCAAAGCTTCTTTCTTGTCACATCAGCTCAGGACAAGACGTGAATGTAGTGGTTAGAGGAAAGATTCATTTTTAAGAGTCCAGCAGACCCTACACGTAAGCCTTTCTAATGTTGACAACACATTCTGCTGCCTTAGTGAGGTGCCAAAAGTGACTTAGACCTGATTTTATGAGAACGTATAGATGGTGTTATCACTATATAAGATCTATGGTAGAATTGACAGGAATTTATAGTACAACCATTACATTAAAACCTCTTGAAAGCATGGAAAGGTTTTTTCTACTCCCTTGGGCTACACCTGGCAAAAAGTAAACTTGAGAAAGAAGGCAGTTAGTTTTACAGAGCAATTCTAAGATAATGTTCTGCACTAAGGCTACTGAGACTGGTTCCTAGTGCAATTCCCACCATAGAGTATTAGAACATGTGCCCACATCCCTACCATTCTGACTGCCAAGAGAAATATTTCACAGGGATTTCATTTCTTCTACAGAATCTAAAGTGAAGCTTCAAGTAATAGGAGTAAAAATAAAAATAAACCACTCTTGCTCTGGAATGTCATGTTTCCACATTTCTGAGTGTGATCTTCAATAGCCTAATCAAATCTACAAACAGTAGATTCTAGATCTATGCTTTGCATTTTGCCTTCCTCTGCATACTCACCAGGTAGTACTTCTCTCTGAAGCTGGGAGTATTTGGAGGGGTCCAGTTGTACAGAGAGCTCTTCCTGCTACCCACAGAAAACTTGGATGTGGTTCCAGGCGACAGGAACAGGTTCTCTGCATCAAAGGGGCTGTAGCAGAAGATACAAAGACCAACCTGTCAGTAAGACCAGAAAGTACAGCTATGCTTAGCAACAGGAACAGCTGTTAGGATTGGAATTGTGACATTTAGTAAACAGCAGAGGGAACAAAGGGAAAGACTGACTGCCTCTTTGACCAGTATCTTTGATCACATCAGCTGAAAAAGAAATAGGCAGAAATACTGCTCATCATACACAAAAATCAAAACACCCTTCAGACAGAAACCTGTGCCATAGTCTTTGGAAGACCAGTCCAACAGGCTGCACAGTCTGATGAGTTCTCTGTCCTGCTGCATTTTCCTACATAGACACCAGTGCTGGCAAGTATGGCACAGTGCTGGCTCACAGTCATCCTCCCGTGGACCCCACGGTCCCTTTCTTCTATGCTGCTCTCCAACAGGTCAGTTCCCAACCTGTACTGGTACCTGTGGCTGTTCCTGCCCAGATGTGAGACCCTACACTTGCCTTTGTTATACTTCATTAAATTTCTCCCCACCCAACTCCCCAGCCTGACTAGGTCTTGCTGCATGGAGCAGAGCCTTCTGGTGTGTCAGCCACTTCTATTTTTCTATCAACACAAAATTGCCAACATAAATCCTCTGCACAGGTTAAAAGCACGCAGAAGTTCCATTATGAAAGTTGAAATGAAGAACAAGTCTTTTGATCATCCTCTGTGACCATGTTGTTTGAAATAGAGGCCAATCATTTCCTTTTCAAGCTCTTCACAGCCTACCATATACCTAAACAGTATCATCCATCAACAACTTTTCAAGCCTGAAAAAGCTATTTAACTTCTTGAGATAAAGGCGACTCCATATCTCTCTTATCACCTTTGTTGTCTCCGTTCAATTTCTAAACTGCCAAACACATGTTGCTCTTTGGTTATGACTAATTACAATATTGGCACTAAATACACGACGTCTAATGCCATCATTAAGGATAACATTGATGTAGTTCATGGCACTTCTTTAGCTTGCCTTAGCACAAGTGCAGGGCTTCAAGCATTCAGGTCCAAAACACACATGCCCGGCCTGACCTTCAAGGGGTTCACAATTCATCAGAGCTCAGGTTTCCTACATTTAACCTCCCATGACATCAGAAGCTCCTCAGAAGAGGCTCCTCAGCCTTACCAGTGCATGAATAATAGCAAGATAAATGTTATCAAAACCCCTAATCCTGGGAAGGGTGAAACACTTGGTGTTTCCACTATTTTATCATCCTTCCACATTTTTTTGTTAGTTGCATACAGAGGACTGTCCCTGAATTACATTCTTAGACAAATGTAAGTAATCAGGCAAAACAATGAAGAGTTGAACTCAAATCTATCTTCATCTCCAGAGGTTTTAAGTTCCTTTCTCTCAATGCCAGGACAACACCCTAATGAGTCTCTGTCCACCCATTCTGTGCATTAAATATCTACAGGGCCAGAAAGGCACTTGGTGGATAGATGCATCTGAATTTTACTATTAAGTCAGCTTGGATTAATGCGAGCCTGAATCCACAATAGTTTTGGTTGAATGGATAAAGCTTACTTATCAGCAGAACACAACATTCATTTTTTTCCCTCCTTACTGAACGTATGTGGAAACAACAATGCAGTTTTAACAGAGTGATCATAGTTCAGCTTCTACAGTTCATCAAAGCATAAGGAGTACAAATGTTAAAGGCTAGTACAGCTTGTTATAGGACATGCTTTGAAACATCATTTGCCTTGAGAGCCCAGCACTGGACTGCTGCCTAAAGATACGCAGGTGAGTATTTATTCACATAAGCTTCTATCCATATGAGAAAGCCTGGCAGCAGGGATGTAAAAAACTACCTTCAACAAAATAAAATCATATATTTCCTTTTAAGTTTTGTTTTCCTCCTGCTCAGGAACCCTTGTGAACCAGGCCAGCATATATCCAAAGCAGGCTGAAATTAGAGGAGTTATTTTGGCTGGCTGGAACCCTTAGATTTCAGCACAGGGCAACTAGCTGAAGTTTTCAGAAGAGAATACAGGCTTTCCTTTTGTCATTCACGAGTGAGAATTCAGACTGCTGTTTAGGTTGGTGGAAATAAAAAAACAAAACTAATGCATTCTGCCAAACTAGCAGCAAAGCAATTCTGTAATAGGCCCAAGCTCATTCATTCTCCTCATAGCATGACCTACAAGAGCTGAAGGAACTTTTATTAGAGGCCACAAGGCTATCAGTCTAGTTAAAGAAAACACACGTTTAGAAGTAGAAGCGTGATGTACATTTCAGTCTTTTTTGCAAAAGAGGTCCATAGCGAAAGTTTGCTTTGCAGGGATATTTGGGCATAGCAGACAGCTTTGTTCAGTTATTCTTACACAAAAGAAACAGGCATACTTTGAGTGTTCTCTTAAAAATAGAAATACCTTCAATTACCATCATCCAACTTCTTTTTGGTAAAGACCTTCATCAGACAGACTCTCAAAGTGAAGAAGTCTGCCAGTTCTGTGCAGAAGTGCCCTGGAGAATCTACTTGGTAGAGTACCAAGGCATTTCACAAGACTTAAAGCAGAGACGCACGGTTGGAATATTCTCATAGACTAAGAAATTTCCAAGTGGGGATTAACACCCAAAGAAAGTGCATCACCACTAGCCCTGCTCCCAGCTCAGACGTTGCCAACTTTAAACAGCTGTGGACTGCTTCCAAATGGCATAGTAGTGCTCATCCACTGATGATCCAAAGTTACAGAGTAAACTGTGAGGTACCGCCACAATTGAATAACTAAATAATTCAAGTTACATATATTTAGAGAGTCAGAAATACTATTTGCTTTGGAGACTTAAGCTATTATTTGATCAACCATGCTATATATATATCCCAGAATAGAAGGGCGTTTTCCTCATACAGTCCTTTTAGAAGAAAAACTTAAATATATGTTTATGCAAGTCACTGACAGTGAGGAAAGGCAAGTAAATTCCGCAAATCTGAACTGAATCTATCTGTTAGAGAGACATTTATGTAGGTAAACAGATAGATATCGCAGTGATCTCTTTCAAACTCTACCTGAAGCGTGCCATCATTCAGTATAGCACTTAGAGAACTAGGTATAAAATCTGGTTCTACCCTAATAAAGAACATCCTCCTTACTCCACAAAGACATCTCCTTAAGACTGAAGGCTTGAAGTCACAGGGAAAAAGACTTCCCATGTAAGAAAAGTACCTCTGCAAACAATATTCTACCGGTAGTCATTTCTGCCCTGAAATTTTCTAGGTCTTTTGATGATTTTTATATCCAAATCTATATCCAAATTAAAGAAGGAATGTGTGTGTGTGTGTGTGTGTGTGTGTGTGTGTGTGTGTGTGTGTGTGTGTTTTGACTAGGTGGGAAGGAAAGAAACAAGAAAGGCATCAGAAAGGCACCCCTTTGCTGGGGCATATAGGAGCCCATGAAGCCCTCTTCTCTCCTTTCTTCACCAGTTCTAATACATGCAAATGTTAAAGAAAACCAACCAACTGCCCTTTATTTAAAAAGCATTTCATTAAAATATATATATATATTTTAACATTAAAAAAAAGTTACACAGCTTGCAACATCTTCACTCCATGTACTTTTCGTAACTCTACCATGAATACGTCTGCCTCCAGATTCAAATGAGCATACATACATATCTTACTACAAGAGGGAGGTTCACAGGGCATATAATGCAGGATCACAGCAAGTGTCTGGAGCAGGGCTTTGTTATCCAAGTAATTAGTGACTCAGCTTCTCAAATAAGTAACAGAGGCTTCAGAAGTTCAGACCAGCTGCAGCACTCCACCAAAAATATTGAGATACCCAATGTTAGCCCTCAGGAGGAAAAAGCGTAATAAACAACAGGTGTAGGAACTCTGCTGTGCAAGTTTATTTCTCATTGACTTAGAGCAGCATGTGCATTTGAGAACACATTTCAGATGTTACTGCCAAACCTTATGTTTCAACCCAACTGTATTTACAGATAACAGAATGGGTTTTCAAGAACTGCACTATATACAAAAATTCAGAAAACCGTACATCAGTGAAGCTCTTACTTCCCCTCTACCAGAAGAATCAATGTGAAAACTGTCTCTCAACCCTCGAATAGGAAGTGCACCAGAAAGCTTTCATGTGGCATTCGTTCTGTTGGTGGCTTAAAAGACAGTAGCAAAGTTTAAGTCAAATAACGCATCTAGAATTAAAAGTAGAAGTACGGTATTAAGACTTGAAAGTTGAGTCTGACTGTAGAACACATTCAGTTACTTTATCCTAATGGCAGGCAGCTGCTTCTTTCTGAGAGATCTATTTGGCAGACCACATGCTACAAGCATTTAAAAACTTTTCAAATTATGTGATATTTGAAGAAGAAAGCAACTACCTAGGTCAGAGAAGAGCTGTGTAACGCTGAATAGTGGATAAGCCTGTCCTGTAATACACTGCATCATGCCCTTCCTAATCTAAACACTGCTTGTTTTCTGCTTCTCCTGGAAGGAGTCTAGATCCACAAGTCATCACAAGTTGGCCTTTTCAGAAGGTCAGTTATTATAAGATGCATCCAAAGTCTTCTTAGACATGTTGGGCGGGGAAGAACTGAGAACTGCAGTAAGCCAGATACAAAAATACAAGTGAGAGTAGCCCTTTAATTGAGCACTTCAGTAAAATGGCTAGACTTAATCCCTGAATGGTACCAACAGAAACAGGTTAATAATTTCCATTTGTTGCAGTGAGTCTGCCAGTATGTACCAACAGTCCCAAACCATTATTGGTTGTCAGTTTCCCAAGAAGCTGGCATTCTTTTCCCAGTAACAATCATCTGATCTGCTGTAAGCTTAGAGTCACATAACTATTTTCCACTTAAGGAAGATAAGACCTCTTCGGACCTGTTACAGGCAACTTTACGTAAGAATATTCATACATACAAAACTCTCACAAACCCAGGAAAAAAAAAGTTAGTTGTTAACCAACTGTAAGATTTTTCCTCAGTCCTTCAGAGATTCTCAGGAAAGCAGGTCACTTGAATACTAAAAAAAAGTCTTACTAAGTGCAAGGAGTTACCACACAATATGAAGATATCACAGTCACAAATTACAAAATATCACACACTGCTGCTGGGAAAGGACTATGCTAGGGTCATCATACATCCATTCAGTGGTACACTCAAATAAGATGACACACAGCAAAAGTAACAGTACTACCTTGAAGATCTGTAGTAGTGTGATTAGAATGAGGAATAAGTTTCAGTGCAGCATCCACAAAAGCAAGAATTTAATAACATCACTAGCCCAGTACAAAAAAGTACAAACGTAAAGTACAAAACAGTTTAACAAGTCACAGGCACAATGAAAATAGCCAATTACTTTAAATTCATCTCCATAACCAAGTTTCCCTGCAGTGCAGAAACAAGCTTTACATCAGTAACTGTGATCATAGTACAAATATGAAGGTGTCAAATTTTTAGGAAGGTTCATTTTGTAATGATTCTTGGCCTGGTAATAGTGACAGTCTTAAATTTCAATTTAAATTTCAATATCTTTTCAATTGTGCCTAGAGGCTTCTATTTTGAGTTTCTTTTCATCACATTTAAGATTATTGCTCAAGTTTTATAGACATACATACATCACTGCAGCTAGAGTTGGACACTCAAAGTACTAGTAAAACTAGGTTAAAAAAAAAAAAAATCAGCTCTCGTGGCTAGCCATGGTTGTGATAACATTAATAATTGACGACAGAACTAAAGTGTCACAGAAATAGGTTCTTTTCTTTCTACTCCATAGGGAGTGGATCCACAGAATCAGAGATCAGGCCTAGTAACTGTGGTTGCTGTGAGGAAGCGCGAGGCTTCTATCTACCCCGCACCTGCTCTGCAAATAAAAGAGAACTATGATGTTGAATGCTTTTCAGTGACATACTTAAGAGCCTTTTATTTATTTCATATTTTTCACCCCAGCTTTTTTAGTTTTAAGACGTACTTACTTCCAGAGGACTTCCAGCTGTAGCTTGATAGTGCCCAGTTCAGTTATATCCACAATGATTGCTTGAGGCTTGGCTGTAAAGAAGTTTATGCTGTCACATGTCACGACACCAACTAGAACTGTGGCCAGTCCTCGCTGTTCTGTCACCTGCTAGGACAGACAAATATATCCGTTTTCATCTCAAAAGACAACCCTAAGAGTCAAGTGCATGGAAAGGAAATCATCCCTGGCTCAGATCTGCTCAGATGCCCAAACAAACTTAAAACCCTGATCTCTGATCCTAAACCGCTGTGAGCCAGTATTCCACAAAGAATACACCATGGATTGTTCACAAAAAAAAAAAAAGAGAGGTTCAAGAGTAGAAGACGACATACAGCTGCACAGTACATCTAATAACAGAAAGAGGAGGACAGTGTGAAAAATATCCGTCAGATTTTCATAAGTCAACAAAAAGCATAAAGCTTTATTAGCTCTTCTAAAACAAAGTGATTGCCTCAGAAAAACTTGTATTGCTTTACAACTATTATGAGAAAACAGCCTCTCAATTACCCTCTCACCCCATCTACATCACACAGTGGTACCAAGAGAGGTGTTATACAGATACCAGGTTCCAACCCAACCATTACACACCACACCTTGATTTCAAACTGCTCATGGAGATTGGGTATAAAGATCTTTTCTTCTTCATCCCATGTTTGGCTGTCATCAGTCTCAATCTTGCCTTTCAACCTCCATTTTTGGCGCCCCAGTCGCACAGAAACCTGGAAATCACAAGGAGGAAAGATGTTAGGTCAGCAGATCACCAGGGCCTTGCTCTCATCAAGACAGTGAACAGTTCTACCATAGCCTGTTTCCCACTTGCCTTCTACACGCTGTACCCTTGCTCTCCAGTTCCTCAACTACAAATTCACAGCAATAACATAAAGGACAAAATGAATCATTATATACTGCACCTCATACTGGTCACCTGGGCAGAGACGTGCAAATCCCACCAAGCCTGAAAAGAGAAGAAAAGCTCCTAATATTTGAAGAGTTTTACAGTGTCCCAACAAAGCCTCACTAAAGCAGTCAATAACACCTTGCATTTAGCCTCATGCAGAAGCTATCCCACTGGGCCAAAACTCCTTGTCAGCTTCTGTACTCAAATATAAAGTAACATTCTAGATCTGTTTTACAGCACTGAAGCAGAGGTTCACCAAAAATTCTGGTCAGGGTCAGACACAGAAAACACTGAAAGCAACTCACATTAATTTCGGGTTTCCTAGGTAGAAACCTGATTCATTTAGAGTCTATTGAACTAACGAGTCTTGAAAGCAACGTGACAAGAACATACCTTTCATCTTCAAGTGAAACTCTCCTAAATGGACCTCTAATGCCCCTTCTATGAAGCACATGTCCTAAAAGAAAGACTGAACAGTCAACTAGGACTGAAAAGCAGAGTGAATATAGTAACGCCCTTTCCATACATGTCATGTTTTTATGCTATCTTTAAATATCTTTGGCTTATATTTATTTTATATAACAGACTAACACTTGCACTAGTGGAGGTCAATGGAGAGAACATTCATACCACTGTTAAGATAGGAAATTGCAATGCCTCTCCACAAAAGAATGGAACTTTCAATCTTCACTTACTTTGCACTGCTTGTTCTATAAAAATATCATAACTTACACATTTTTGAATCCAATACTCATCACATTACTTCCAGTGGAAGTCACAATGGACACCAACATTACAGCAGAAATGCAACAAGTTTTTCATTTGTCTTCACAGAATCATAGAATTGCTCTGGTTGGAAAAGACCTTAAAGACCACCAAGTCCAACCGCAACCTAACCATACCACCCTAACAACCCTCTGCTTCATGAGAACTTGAAGCCAAACTGAGTAGTGGACAAAAATGGAGGAAACCAGAGCTTTGCCTGAAAGGTTATTTATCTCATAAGTTTCAGTTCACATTATGTACGTATTTTAGTCATGTTAAGTTTCTAAATCCCCTTTACTGGCAAAGTCATCAACAGCTCCCGATGCTTTTTTTTGCTAAGCAACAGTCAGGTCTTCGCTACGCATTAGTAGCACTTCCTACCTCTGTACACTCCTGAAAGTTCTTATAGAGCTCCACTAGGCTCTCCCTGGAGGCTTTGGTGGAAGGAGACAAGGAAAAGGCACGTTTCATATTAGTGGCGCCATCTCGTAATCTGCACTGGATACAATAAGCTTCATAGAGTTCTTCTACCTTTAAATTTGTGGATAATTTCAATAAGGAACACTGTCAGTCTTTAATGGAGGGGAAAAAAAAGAAGACCCACAAACAAAACCCATTATCTTAGTACTGCAACATGCTGCAACTCATGCATTTTACAGATTGGTAGCAAGGTAACTGTTTATATTCCTGAAAACAAAGAGGAGGGGATATTGAGAAAATAATTTGCTCTACAATTATTAGACTAGAAGACAGGAAGTAGAGTAACACCTTGTTAACAGCAAAATTAATCACAAAACAGGAAGCTGATTCTCTTAAAACACATTAATACACCTACAGCTTTAGTCATGTCTAAGGAGATTTAATTCTTTAGAAGCAGACGTGCATATTTCAGAGGTGATAGTGGATAACATGTAAATGTCTTAAAAGCAGAAGTACTTTCTGGAAAAACTGGCTGAGTATACAAATTGGTTTCACAGGCAAACATTCAGCCTGAATAGAAACATTCAAGAAAATAAATTAAAATCCCCTTCTTCCATAACAGAGTGGTTATAGCTTTCAGAAAGTATCCAGTATCATTTATCTTTAGAAAAACTATCATCAAACTATTTTCTATTCAGAGAGTTTGCTTATATAGAAATTTCTCACGCATACAAGGCAAAATTCCCTTACTTTGCTTATGTGGAATTCCAGTTTTCTAATGTATCTCTCCACAGAGCGAATTTGCTTTTGAATTAGGTATGGAGGTAGAGAGAGAGAAAAAACTTGATTAGTTTTTTCAGTATTTCCTAAACAAGTCTTTAAGTAACACAGTAAGCATCATTACTTTTTCCATGTCTGCAATATTCACAGTGCTTACCTTATCAAGGTCATAGTAGAAGGCCTGAAAGACAAATAGCACAAATTGAACAGAAGATCACATCTTTGTATCGAATTAACAACATTTTTATAATTTATGATGGAACTCACCATGCATTTAGATTAAATGCACTCAATTAATGTGTACTGTTTACTACAAGGAGACAGCCCAAAAAACTTTAGAAGCAGTCTCGTTTTCTGTGTGTGGTTGGTTTGCTTCCCTAACTCCACCACAGATGCTTGAATTGAGACAGCAGCCCTGTCACCTTTAGATGTAACAAAGACTTGGATGCAGTCACAGCACACAGGACTTTATTTTTTTGCCTATCATTTCCCAAACGAAAGGAATTCTGATGTGTGAGTTATCTTCTCATTAACACTGTTGCTGAAGGTACTTTTAGGGAGTTGCAAACAGAGCAGAATCTATATTGCTAAGATACATTTATCAGCTATTAAAAACAAAGTGTGGTCTTTCTATTTCAGACTTGAGGAAATCTAACCCTAGTAAAAAAAGGAGTGTGTTTAAATAACAAAGGTGGATGCTGAAAGAGGGAAATTTCAAGTTCAGATCTAAACATAATTTGCTCCATAAATTCTAGATTGTGATGATTTGCTGGATCTCACCTCAGTGCTTTAACTAGAAAACCCCCAAGAGTTCAAAACGTGAGAGATACCATCTATTTTTGCGCCAGCCTTTTAAAATTCACTCAGTTATTAAGATCTACATACCAATCTGGAGTTCCTTTTTGTATCTTTGTGTCGATCAGAGAGATAATCCAATTCAGCCTGATGTGCTTCTAGGTACTCACTGGAGAGAAAGAAAACCAGAAGCATTACGTTTTTCTGGTACATTCATTATGGTATCTTCTCAAATATTTTTTTCAGCAGAATGTTAAAAAAAACAAATTCCTTCTCTAGAAATTTCCCTTTTCTTCTCTAGAGGGATAAATGACTTTACAGATGGATATGGACCAACAGAAGAGGAAGAGCAGCTTCCATTGGTAATTATTTGTTCTCAACGCCAAGTCATTCCTAGAAGATCAGGAGACAGATATACAGAAGCACCTGTAAAAGAGGAACCTAGGTCCACTAAAATCTCAGAATACTTTTTGTGAGGTAGAAAAATCTGTTCATTTGTTCAGCAAGTCTTTTCTTACAGTTATGGAGGAGTAGGTCTTCATCAACCAACCCCATAATAGAAAAAAAAAATAACCTGCAGCATTAACCATTGCATTACAGAATGAAACTTACAGAAATACTCTGTATGCAAGGTAGGGCAGATATCATCCACTGTTTTAGTGTGCAGAACTGAATACCAGCTTTTAGAACGCTAGACACTCCTTCACGCAATTGTCACTTTTTCCAGAGCAGGAACTGTTTTGCAAAGTGTGAAGAACTTGACGCCAGTTGGCTTCTTTACAGCTGCTTGCACGCTAAGGTTGGCCCTTAAGAATTCTTATAAGGCCTTTAACTATTTCTGCTGAGAATATCTCCTTCCAATTCTGCTTTTAACGCAATGTGTGTTCCTCTCACTTTTAAAAGGGAATTAAAGCCACTTGGTATATACTATATAAGACACAGTCACAGAGCAGTTAAAATAATATCACACTAGTCAACTACTCTTCAGGTTTGCTTTGATGCATTTGATTGTCTTACTGTTACAAGATCAGATCACCCAAGGTTCTCAATGGTGGAGCATTCAGCTGCCTGCTCATCACACTTGCCCATTAATAGCTCACTGCAGGAGCATCCAGCACTGTTGGCAGGGAAGTTTGCTTTCCTTTTAGGAGAGCTTTGTCACTTTTAGGTTAAAGCATGTGAATGCTGCCAGCTTGATGGAATGGTACCCAGATGGTTAACAGAAAAAAGTTATTTGCTACAACTATTAAGAAAGAGGCACACATAACATTCTGTACTGAAAATTCAAGTTACTCCAGCACCAAGCAGTCTTAGTCTGTATCTACTTAAAATTTGGACTTCACATTGCCATGTGATACAGTTGTTTTCCGTAGGTTACTTTAGTCAATTAGTTAGCTGCTCACTTTTGGCAGGAGTCTGATCACATGGCGCTCTCTGCAGAGCTGGGAACAAACTCTGATCCACTTTATAGTTTCTCCTCCCTAAACTGTGCTAAATTCTAAACTCTGCAAAAGCATTTAATTCCATTATTTGTTTTAAACCTAAATTCTAATAAGACATCTACTGATTCTTTTATTTATTTTAGGACCAAGACTTCATAGTTCTTTATTTGGGGAAAAAAAAAAAGTGACACTTGAGAGCATCATGTAAGTTATTAGGGTGTTTTTCATGCTCTTAAGAAAACTATGATCAGAATTAACACAGTAGCAAAAATTCTGAGGAAAACAAAAAAATACAGGAACAAACTTCACAGGATGCCAACAGGAAAAAGATACAAGTTTTGCAAATCTAAGGGATGTTTTTTTATCTTCTAACAGCAGCCTTAGAGCATAAATGAAGTTCCTACAGTATTAGACCATGTTCACTGACATCAACTCCAATGATCGAAGATGTATATTTTCATATAGTAAGGTCTGTGGATGCAGTCTAAAGTTTTAGTCACTGGTGGAGTCAAAGATGGATACAAATTATATCATTATAATTATATATGTGGCATTATACCACATCTTACTACAGTCTGTAATACCAAGAATGCAAGCTCACCCATATTTTATTCTCCATTTAAGCACTGAGTAATGAAACTGACAGTTTCCTCAAAGCCAGAACACCCCAAATTCACACTGCCAGCCCTCTTTGATTTCTGTTATGCCTGCTGCATACACCCATGTCTGCCAGACAGAGAGAACATACAAATCGGACCTTTTGTCCTTTTTAGTCAAATTCACACTAATGCAGCATTGTCCACGTGGTCTGAAACAGTACTAGCTTTAAAGCAATAAAATTGAAGTAAGGAGCTTAAACTTGTTCGTACTGCCATTGGAAGATGAGGTTATGCTATAGATTGGTTTCATCACCTCAAGTCAACTAGGTTTTTCATATGGATCTGCTCAGACCTATACCTTAGAACAGCTCTATAATATCTTATGTGTCATGTAATCTGCATAGAGATAACAGAAACAGCTGTTTCTGTTATAGCTCCTCCTCTAGAAGCTTTCTTCAAATTACCTCCAAAATCCAGCTGTCCTATCCCTCTTCAGTTATCTTCTTTATCTTCAGGCTTTCTGCTTCCTACTCTGTATCCTCTGAAAGCCTCCCTTTCTTGAGAAATCTCAGTTGCTCCAGAAAAAAATAGGCAATTTCCCAACAGAGTTTTACTTGTCACTGATTTTTTTTTTTAAGAAGTATAACAAACAAGGAACAAACAAAAAACATCAGAGGACCTCAAACATTTTGTTTGTGAGCAGACTGGCTGAGCACAAACGAAACTGTCTTCCAAAATTTCAAACCAGTGCCTAGAGAAATTATTATGTAAATTTAGGTATGACAAATGGAGACAGAGAACAACATGATATACAGAGTTAAGCAGCATGACTAGGTATAAGTTACAGTATTTAAGAGTCCTTACTTAAGTCCTTTCTTCAAAGCTTCAAAAATTTTCTTCACCTGCAGTGGTTTTGGATCCCAGATGACTGCCCCTTTCTGCAGTGAAGAATAAGCCTTAGGGGATTTCAATGACATTCTTGATCTTACTGAGCTTCTGCTGAGAGACTTTCTGTAGGAAAAGAAAGGAAATAAGGAAGAGATGAAAAATGCACCACCTGGAAGAAAAGAGATATCTAACCTACAGTTAGTTTCCAGGCTACAAGTTATATGCCCCATCCCACATAGCTTTATTGAAAAGAATAAGGCTCTTGATACAGCAAGAACACTTTCACAGATAATATTAGAAAATTAATGCACAGCCTCAAATACCTAATGCAGACAAGGCACAAATTCTTTTGTGACTCCAACAGAACTAAGAAATGGCTGCTAGAAGCAGACTTAAGGAAGAGCTCTCAGGCAAATAAACCGTAAACAATCACATTGTTATCATTTCTCTTAAGCCTTGCTTGGCATTAGCTAAGTCTCTGATTCCACACACACATTCACACTGGCTGTTGAACTAACTACAGAAACAGTCACGTGAGTCATGCTGCAGGACAGGATCACCCTCATTCTGTCTCTCATCTGCAATCCAGTAAAGTAAGGCAACAAACCTTTGCTAACAACTGCAAACCACAAGTAGATTTCAGGAGAATTCTACTCTCCAGCTACCAGTAAACTCTAGAGAAATACCTAAAAATTTACATTTCTAAACATTCCCTTGGGCACAAGTACAGAGTAGAACAAACACACATGATTAGCCTTAAAACATTACCAAGAGACTAGATAAGCTATTATCTTTTGGACTGACAAAGCTAACATAAAAAAACCTTTAGAGTTCTTTGCCAACCTTCATCAACCACTGAAAAGATCATTTAGACCCCCAACGTATTATAGGAAAGCCTACTGCCAAGCTCAGGTTACATACAAGAAATAATTATCAAAGTGTTTTTTCCAGTATCTAACACCTCACTTACTTTAAAAAGCAGCTGCAAAAACAAAATTAAATATCATCTCTAACAGAAGTCCCATACATAGGGCTATTTTCGCTAACCTGAGGAATTACAACGCTCTATCTATATTCTCTTTCAAAGTCTCAATTAGTTTTATCCAGCTTTGTTAATACTCCCCAAAAGCCAAGCTTCTAAAATAACATTGACTTAAATAAGATTCCTATTCCACAAAGCTGAGACAACTGGTTGCATTCAGAGAAGCTTTCCACCTTCTCTATTATTTCCATCCTAAATTCAGTTCACCTGGGAAAATGGCGAACTCAAATAGACTTAATAATTATCCACTGGTTGCTGTAAGGTGTAGGCATGCGACTCAGAGCCTAATGAGGTTATCAAGCTGGGTGATGGAACAATTATCCTGGTGCTCAGTTTCTGCTTCTTTTCTTTTAACATCTAATCTGCTACCACAGATCACTAGATATTTCATTTCTTCACCCCAATGATTATCTTAAGTGACTTTTTTTTTTTAATGATGGCTTAATGTAAAGCGTTGATCAATGAAATCATTTTGAGCTTAGGTTACCCATACCAAGAACATAAATGCTAAATTAAAAAATCACGATACCACTGTGGGTTTTTTTCCCTCTAAAATAACAAATCTTTGAGTATTTCATGCAAAGTGAGAGGCTTTCAATAGGAATAACACTGGAAGTAACAGTCCAGCCACTAACAACAGTTAAAACCATCTCCTGGAATGATCACTAATTAAAATTCCTTTATGCAAAGAAGAAAATAGCATCCATATTCATATTTTAGATAAGTATTCTAAATGGCAAGGTACCATACAGAACATAATTCTATCTTTTGAAATTAAAAAGCTCAAATTACTCTTGTTTTTGTTTGTTTGGGGGGATGAAAGGCTTTGGTTTTTACCTTCAGAGTTTTGGGCTGCGAAGCCTAAATTTAGGAAACCACCTTCCTTCAGTTTCAAGTATTGCATGTGTCTGGGAACTGCTGAGTCACGGCCTGAAGCTCTGATTGACCACCTGAGGCGAGCACTGAGTCAGCCCTGGGAGCACAGGTGAAGGCGATTCAGCTGTGCTGCTGGAAGGGGTGCAGCCTGGCTGCCCCTCTCCTAGGCCTATTGAAGAGCTGGCTGCCAGTGGGGAAGGAGCTCTGCTGGAGATTGCCTCTGTTGGTGTTTTGTAGGTGAGCCCAGCGTAAGGGTAAGCCTTCCATTTATTCTCTTTTGTTATCATTGTCCACTTTGCCTAACTCTCTTGATTATATTGTGATTGTAACATCTTGATGTCCATTGATTATACAGCATGTAAACAATAAATAGGGATGGACTGTGATTTAAAACTTACTTTTCTCCAATATCTTCTGGGTGATGTAGCCAATAGGTATTACTCAGTATACTGATGTTTAGAATCCTATTTTCATACATTGAATAGAAATGTTGAATATAGCTAGCTTGGGATTTTAAGGACAGCACTTAAAGGTGGCTGCTATGTTACTGCTTTCCCTTGTGAACTTAGTAATGTAAGTATCAGATTTCCTATTTTATAGGTAACAGTAATAACATTTCCTGTGGAGACCACGGCGAAGAAAAATTAAACAGTGTGTCTGATTGAGAGCCTCAGAAAGTTGCTAAACAAATACAAAAGTACATTTAGCATCTGTTTAAGAATCCACATGGACCTGATTTGTGTGTCACCCTCTGAATAAACCTTGCATTGGGCCCCTGCAGTCTCCTGCTATGTTTTGCAACATTGCTTGAGAGAGAATTAAGTTAAGAGAGGGTAATTCTAAGACTTACCACGTTGGAGAAGGCTCCACGTTTGCCAGGTTATGATTAAGTAGCTAGTACAAAGATCTCTCTAAATATCATGATTCCTGAACAAAACTGTTTGACTAAACACTTAAATAACAAAAAGGAATATAAGAAAAAATATATGATACATAGAAAAATGTATAGGCATTTGGCTAGAAAACCACTGCAGCTAGAAATAACAGATTTATCTTAAGGGATAAAGACGTTTTTCTGTTTTGAGCATTCTTAGACTTTCTTTATTGGAGAAACAGCTGTACCCCTTTCCTGGTAGATCCTTTCCCTGCTGCAATTCCAACAATGTACTTGAGCTCAAGTCTGTTTATGTAATTTATTACCAGTGCTTCTTCAAGATCATTGGTGTAATTTCAGATGTTTAATTCTTGCTGAGTGTAGGACTATTTTCCAGCTTCCACAACAAATTAATTTACTCCAATACAAAGACTTTCTGATCATACAGCAGTCATGCTGGAATTCCATTTCTGCACATATCTTGTACCTTACTATGATATGTTTACCTAAAAGTTAATGTAGTCTTTTGGTTCTTTGAAAACATATTTTACTAAACAAGTCCAGAATTTTAGTGATATACACCTTGATTTCTTTTTTTTTCAGTACTCTAATACTTTTAGAGGCACACTTTCCAATAACTCTATGATACCTAGAAATAATTTACTTTGTTTTTACTCCAGTGTGCACTGGCAGCCAGAGATGATACTACTTTGAATTCGTATGTCACATCTTCAAAAAGCACTCCACAGGCTATACAAATAAATTAGGGATCACTAAATGCAGAAGAACAAGAAGAACACTTCTAGAGCGAAAAAAACCTGGATAGTCATCTGCATAAAGCAATGCTACACAACTACATAAGATAAGCAAAAAGGGAAAAACAGTGCTGGATGGTTTAGCAGTTACTGTGTTGGACTGAAAACCGAAAGATTGGATAGCAACCTTGGTTATACTGTTGACCTGTCACTGACAGTAGTGAATTTGCAGTAGCCTTCTTGACCTCTCTGTCTTCCACCCTTGCTCTTGTTTGCGGCATTGCCAGAAAGCAGTCCCTCCTCTTGTGTTTTGCTACTCTGTTTAAATAACTCCAGGAGAGTTTTAGTCAAGCTCAATTACATATTTTGGCAGGATTCACCATTAGTATGTATCTTTTCAAAGGTCTATGAGATTTTTAATTACCATAGCTATTCTGAACACTTTCCATTTTATCAGAACACTGGTCTTAGCCAGAACATATCCTTTATTATAAGGGTCATTAGAACAGGCCTGAAGGAAAAATGTCTCCTACTAGAGTACTAATACTAATTCTTGAGCACACTGAGATCCCAAGAACTAATTTCTGGAAATTAGAAAACTGATTTTTTAAAATGACACAGGTAAATAATACTAATTTTAGTATCAGACCTACTTCAGCATTTGCAAGTGAGGTCATCTCTGCAATCGTATCCACTTTTGAGCTCCAGTGAAGTGGAGGTCAGTAATTACAACAGTCTCTGTAGCACCTTCCAGACTGATTTTTTATTTTATTTTTTTTTAAGAAATGGATGCTATCTAGTTTCTGATACATAACTTCTCTCACAGATCAGAAATCCAGCCATCTCTAAATTACAGTGTGTACAGCAGTAAGATAATACAATGTGAAATGTAACTGTTAACACTGATCATGACAAGAGTCAATAGTTTTAAATAAAAAATGAAGGAATGACTCCTATGTACAGATGTTTTGTGTTGAAAAATACATTCCTAGTATGTAATATTTATTGTCTGGCGGGTCAGGTACTTTTTTGATTGTTTTACTTACGCTAATTTTCTGCTCTGCACAGTGCTGAATCCAGTGAAGGAACAACTCCTACTGATACCACCTCCATCACCAGAAGAGACGAATGTGAGTTTGACCGACATGACCCCAATCAGTAAGTCTGATGGATTCTGAAATAAACAGAAAAATAAATGAGTTGAAACCTTGGCAGTTCAGGCTTACACCTGCGCTGTTGCAAGTGCTGAGCTGCAAGAAAGTGGAAAGCCAGAAAAAATGCAGATTAAATAGAAAAAAAAAAAAAAAAAAAAAAAAAAAAACACTTGTCTGCTATACACGTTTCCTCTGTTGCCACGCACAGAATCAAAGAATCACCACGATTGGAAAAGACCTCCAGGACCATCAACTCCTACCTAGCAACAGTACTTCCTCACTAAACCACGTTCCTTAGCACAACCCATGTATTTCCACATCGGTTTGAATGCCAGAAGAATACTCAAGCTCTCAGCTTGGTTAGGTCCAAAAAGTAGTAGTACCTTACATCTGTGCAGAGCCTCACTCAAGTCTGGCAGAACCGGCTTGAGTGTGGTACTTAAGCCCAGAGCTGAAGTCTGGTTTCAACAGTAAATTTCTTTTTCGTGCTGCTCCTCCAGCAAGATCTCCTTCACATGGCCGTTTTCTGTTTTCCATCAGTCAAACTCTTGCTTTCTGGAGAACTGTGCTCTTTGCCACATGTCAATAGAATCCAAGTTACAATGTAAGTAACAGACATATTCCTCAAAGCAGCTGCAGAAAATCACTCAGACAGTTAATATACAGAAGAATTCCTTTCCTTCTCCCCTCAAGCTGGTGTAATGTAAACACCACAACTAGCAGCTTTGGTTTTAATGAGGCCAAAATGGGGGCCAAACCCTAATTTCCTCTCTTAGTTCGTGCTTCTGACTCACAAAAAACGTGAAATTATTGAGAATTCTTAACTGATTAAAAGAAAATATGATATAAATTTGCATAGAGAAGAACAAACTCCTACAGAGAGCTCTAAATGCAGACGCTCCATGGAAAAGTTTTTCCTCTATTATGAATGAGCTTCAAAGATTAGTGAGATCACTCAATCTATCAGTGTAGATACTGGAAAGGAGCACCTCCACTAAACCCAATGTCCCTACATTATCCCAGCAGCATAAGTACAGCTATCATAAAATCACAGAACAGAATTCAGACTAGAAGCCACAAAGTGCCAGGATAAGACTTTTCTTGGCTCTGCCACTAACTTGGAGAGCAATCTCACTCAATATTCTTCCAGGCTGCATATAAAGAACTGAACAGTTGAACAAGACTATCCAAGAGGGATGAAATTTCAGCGCTTTGCTGAATCTGGGCTAGTCTACAGGTACACAGAGAATTACTGTAAGTTACTATGCTTTAGGTATCCTTATACAACAAAGTAGTAATTAAAGTTGTCATGAGTTTTTGTTAGTAGTAAGAATTGATTAGCTCTTTCAAAGCCACTCAGGGCTACAAGCTGAGGTCAAAGACTCCTATTTCATTGCCTGTCCTACAAGTTCTGACAAGCTCATGAATAAATCCATGAGAAAAAGAAAGAAAAAAACATTTTAGAACAAGATATGAGAATGACAAATTTGAGGCAAACAGCTACGTGCTTTGCAAGCTACCTTGTAGAAGAAAATGTTGGGGATAGCTAGTGGTTTTATATGTCAGGGCGCTGAAGCTCACAGAACTCCATAGCTTCAGCAGCATCAACAGAAATCTGTTACACACGCAAATATAGGTGCACATTAATCACATTTTTACCAATCTCTTCAGGCCCCTTGTCTTGAAATGATGCCTCTTTAACACCCCTAAACAGACAGCATACTCGCGTCACATCAGATTTGATGTTTCAAAATACTTTCCATTCTTTCCTCTAGTTTTCAGACCCTTCTGTCTGCAGTCATCCATCAACAGGATTGTTACATTTAAAAAAAATTCTGCAACTTACTGAAAAATGTCATTGCACAATGAGCTGTTAAAGGAAGAAATGAAAGGAACAGCCTTAGAGTTACTCACCACGTCCCTCCTGAAGGCTGAGAGATTTCCAGGAATGATCCCTCAGCTCCCTGACCTGGGAAGTTTATTTCGTGAGTAAATGGGAAGGAGGAAATGCAGGAAAAGCATGTGTGATCCTACAAGATTCCTAAAGCCTTTATCAAATGAGACTGGAAGCTTTTCAAATAAATATATATGAAACAAACTAAAACAGAGAGAACCTTAATGGGGAATGGGAAATGAATTTTAAAAAAGTACTCCTGAAGTAAAAATGCGTGGCACTGAATTGTAGATGTGAAGAGGTGAGTTTGAAATGTACAGACTCAAACCTCAGTTGGTGAAAGAAATAAATTGCTTAAACTGCCTAGATTTGCCACGTGTTTTAATAAACCAAATACAATTTCTGACACACTCATCAGTAAAAGAGAGGAAAGATGAATTGGATCTCACTTATGCATAACCATAAGCACTTACAAATACTGGTAGGTTGTTTTTTCAACAGCACAGTGTTCAGTGCTCCGGGTCACTTACTGTGTCATGCCCAGCTGCCATGGACAGCTACCCTCAAATACAGTTCTCAAGCACATTTTCACAGTTCCTTTAAGAATGAGAGAATCTGAATAAAGTTAGGAAAGCACCCTTAAAGGGATTATCTCTCTTACCTTTGAATAATGCTGATAAAGTCAAATACCTCACGGTATTCACCTGCATATACAATATTGGTAGTAACCTAGGAATGTAACAGCTCATTTCATACACAGGATCTGACAAGAAGGCTATAAGAAGGATGTCATGGCAACATTTTAATAGTAAGAGAGATTTACAAATTTTGCAGTTGTTTTGCAGTTGTTTAAACATGGGTTTGCTAGCCAGAGTATCTGTACAGAAGTGCTGAGCTATGTTACAACTGCCGTGAGAAACAGCATCTGGACATGTCTCAAATTCAACTGTCCCCTTAGGCTAAGAATAAATCAGATAAGGACACCCCACACACTGCTTCCACAAAGCCAAGTCTCTGTCTTCAAAGGTGTAATCTCTGCTCCAGAGGTCAATGTCTTCAAAACTCTTAAATACCAGGATTATACCCTGGGGAGCAGAGGTACTTCCTCACTCTTAATCTTCCCGAAAAGCACAGAATGTGAATACAGTAGCATGAGGCTGGCATATGTGGAGCATGAAAACAAATGTCCAAAATGAAGGAGTTTACTGCCAGAGGCAATAGAACAACAGAACAAACAACTGGAATAAAACAGAGCATTTTCAGAAAGTCTTATAATGTTTCCGAATCCTAAACAGACGTATGAAGTGCTACGTACTCAAATATATTAATACTTGCAACATTGTGAGACTGAGATTTTCAAGTCTTAGAACACAGGTTTGTAATATAAATCAAAAGGTTTTTTGTAAAATTAAGGGAGTATGCTTATCTGTACTTCATATTTCAGTAACTTGCCATGTCCCAATAGACTATTAGCATCTCACCCTCACTATGACCAATTATTCAGATATACAGGGATAAATGTTTGAGTTTTTATGTGCAGCCATGAGTCCGCTCAATCTGCATGTTCTCCTCAGTTAGCACTAGGAGATTACTTAGGCCAAAGGACCTTCATCTTCTACAAAACAAAAACTGGCGTCTGCGTTTGTGGTTAAACTTATCCTACCCTAGTCACATACTTAATTGTTTTAGGGCACAATGGCTTCAACAGTTTTATGTGGAAAACATGACTCACTGACTTACTGCAAAATACTTCTGCTTGTGTTTTGCACTTTAAACTAGTAGCCGTGACTTTCTTTTAGAGGTTCTCTTGAACTTGGTAAACTACTGCTAGAGTAAAGTATTCATACTTTCTTAATGTTGGATTCTTTCCATTTGAGAATGACCTTTCAGTTAAGAGACACACTTCTTTCTAGCTGTGCATCTGCAAAAAACTGTACCAGACTTCTGTTTCTTTCAGCTAACTGTGGAAACTTGCATCACACCAACAGCCTGGGCAACAAGTAGCTCTGTATTTCATTAGGATGTTGGTACCCATTGTTCACTGGCTTCAACAAGCAGCAGCTCACAGACTCACAGGCTAAAAAACACATAGAAATCAAGTAAATTATTAGTTACTATAGAAAACACCACAGAACAAGACTATTTAACTCTAATGATCAATGTAAAGTGATTTTAAGAACCCATTTGTGATTCTGGAAACATGTTGTTATCATGACAATTTGCCTGATATCACTTCATGCTAACATTTTCCTTTATTATTGCTCTTATTTTTGTACATAATTTTGTTTGAAAAGTTACATTAGCTGTACTTGGGAGGATGAAAGAGCCATTCTATCTTCTTGTAAACTGAGTTAATTTAATTTTGCACATAACAAACGTATTTTCACAACATAACCCTCTACTCAGGAAAATCCTCACATTGGAGGGATGCTAACTACAATGTCTTTTTAGTGCAGGGTTTTAGAAAATTCAATTCTCCCCCACGATAACCATACAAATTTGCTGTTTTTGGTTCTATAACATTTCTCCCAAACCTCAGTTTTCACTGTATATAACTAATACAAGATGAACATCTAAAGACTTTGGAAACATACAATATTGTCAAACTATTTGAACGAAGTCTGAGGGATGTTTGGACTGAGCCACTGAAGCTTCTTCCTGTGATTTCAATGTACCTTGGAGCAGGCTGGAAATTTCTAGATCTCAGCACTTACTTTCCATCAGTGGAGATCCAAACAACCAATCTTTAAAGTTAATGAAACTCCTGCGATGTGACAGTGTCACAAGTCTGCCCTAATTACTCTAAACTTATACGTAATGAAGACTGTCAGAACAAAGAATGAAGCGACCGTCCTGCGTACAGCACAGTGTTGAATTCAGTGGGAAAATAAACACTGTATTTAATCTTTGCTCTCAAGCATTCTTTAGGAAAACCACTGACCTCAGTAGCAATATCTATTTGCTAGAAAAACATTCCAAATTTATGATTAAAACCCCTTAACTTTTAAGCATTTTTGTGCAGTTATCACACAAACATTCTATTTATACTGTTCTTGGCAGAACTAAGAAAAATTTCTCAGGCTATTTTTCTAGAGATTAACAGACACTTGATTTAGGGAGACCAAAGTGCCTTAGATGCTACATCTCAATGCAGCTATTCTAATTCAGCTTTAAACATAAACAGGGACCCGTTCTTCACATACATCCTTTCCATGAAAATTTGCAGTGCAATGTGAATAGGCTTTATGTAACCCACTGCAACACAGAAATTCTGATTTCTGGATATCATTCATCTGAAACTTGCATCTGGCACCAACACATATAACCTGTAACTAGGCCACCATATAGGGCAACTACAAATAACAGAAAACCTATGCTTGATATTTTATCAAATTTATACGGTAGAACAGAAAATGGTGACAGAGAGAAGTAGCTGCCTGGAATGAGCTTTTGAATGTTGTTCCCCTGGTACATGTATTGTCCATTTCTGAACCACAAAGAACTAAATTTTGCCTTTTCTTTGCAATTTTCCTGCTCATCTCCTTCTCCACTCTGGTTCCTCTAATGAGAAGAAAACACAGTAGACTGCTGAGCTTGCTCAAGTTCTTTGCTGAAAAATGCAATCCAAGCAGGAAACCCTCTTGGTGCTGTGAAGTCCACTGGATTTAGCTGTATAGATCCACAAGCAATCATTCTTCTACCATATTCACCAGACATTTCTGCACTTTTAAGGCTGAGCAATATGAGCAATTACAAAGCTGCTTTGCAGCAAATGGAAGATTTTGCTTCTCTACATACCTGCACAAGCATTCCACAGTTTTTTGGCCTAAACACATCTAACTCAGATTGTTACACAGGCCCCTTTCTTTGCACCACACTTCCATGTGTCTGATAGTATTTTCAACATCCCAAACGATTTGGGAATATAACTCCAATCTCAGTAATAATTTAGGATCCTAAGATCTAGTTACATTGATTTTTAATAATAAGTATTATATTACTATTTCACATTATTCAGAAAGATAGGGCCTTGAAGTAGTACTCATTTAGGTACTTCTAAAAATATTTTTTTTTTCTGGGCAGATTCAATTCTTAAGTATGTATTTAAACACTACATTTCTGACATAGTTTCCTCCTAGCTATATTCAAGCCATAAAGCCAAAATCAGATAAACAGCTTTGATCCAAGTTACTGCTTTAGTCATTAGGCCTTTCTACAGCTTTATGCCAGCTTCTGGAAATGAAGTTTGCCATACAGCAATAAATTTAAATATCATAAGCAGTTACCTCAGAGAGCTTGAATTAGGCTCAGAGAGCCTAAGACAGCTTCTCCTGTGCTGGAAGTAGTGTCTCTGTTGTAGCACTTCCAGTATAGCTCTTTGAACACAGGACTCAACTTTCAGGTCCAAGATGACCTGTTTTTCAAGCCTGCAATCCAATATGTTACTGTATTTCCAATTACTTTTCATCTAAGCATACAGACCCAAGTTCTAATCTCAGTGACAGTGGTGCACAACCAGAGGAGATCAATCAGTCATTTATTCCAGACTTCTGCTAGAATCTGGGCAGCAAAAGTTGGCCCATATTCAGTTAATGACCTGGAAACTATTTTTCAAGGCACAATTTTGCGGTCAATTTTGTAACTCCCTCTAGTGGCAGCAGATATCAAACAAATGAGGCACCATAGAGACCTAGGCACATACTGCACACTGCCTGTAATAAGAGAAGGATCAGAGACTGCACAGAGCCAAAATCCCCGTTTATTTCCTTTGCCAGGATGTGGCACGTTCATGTAGCCACATGCAGTTTCCCCACATTTTGCAGACATCACCGTTCTTCTGGTTGCTGTGAGTACTTCTGCACTAAGTTTTGCTTTCCTCTTCAGGGAAAGGCACAGAACAATCCACTCATTATCAGCTGATTTATGAGCACAGGGTTTGCTCCTAGCTTCTCTGGTTTCAATTTCAAACCTGATGACAAACTTGCAACTTGAATCAGAGATTGAGGAATGTGGCAGACTCCACACGCTAGTCTGACTTGCAGCTTTTTGGGCATTGGCAGAATTTGACTCTGCAGTGAGCTACATTCTAATGAATACTTAAAAACAAATTCCTAACAATAGAAGAAGCAGATGGCTTTGGGAGAGAGCAATTTACAAGCGATGAAGTGGCTCTTCCATTTCTGACAAACAAAAATTTGCCCAGCAGCAAGACACTGAATCCTACATTCTGTCTTTGGGAAGTCCCTCCTTCTTAATTAAAACCACCAAGGAAAATTCTTCTGTAAGATATTTCTCATTCTCCCAGCTTTCCCCAAACTATGCCTTAATATATGTACAGATAGACTTTCTGTACGTGATCCTGTTTTCATCCACCAGCAAATGCAGGAGCCTGCTAAAAGGCAATTGCCAGGTCAATTATGAAATAAGAAATATCCCTTATCACAGCCTTAGGGTTGCAGAAAACCCCAGATCTAAGCTTCAGCAGAATCCACTACAATGTGTGTGTATATACATATATATATATATATACATTCTGTCTATTACTCCAAGAAGGGTATATTAACCAAAACAGATGATAATCTTCCACTGATAGTGCAATGTGATGTTCTACAGGGTGTGGGATGTCTTCTGATACCTTCAAAAACTGAAGGCTATGAATCAGACTGTAGTGGTATGTCCTGGGACATGCTTCTGAAGTAGGACAAACCATTTGTCATTGCGCCATCTGATCACAAAGCTGTCCTTTTATTAGAGGGAACGGCCTCAAGTTGTGCCAGGGGAGATTCAGGTTGGATGTGAGGAAATGCTTTTTCCCCAGAGCAGTCAGGTGCTGGAAAGGGCTGTGCAGGGAGTGGTGGAGTCACCGAGGTGTCCAAGAAACAGGGAGATGTTGTACTGAGGGATGTGATTTACTGAGAAATATTCGTGACAGCTGTACAGTTGGACTGGGTGATCTTAGAGGACTTTTCCAGTCCTGGTGATTCTATGAATTAAGCCATCAACTTTCTATTGCAACAACGTTTTATTCCCGCAGGTATTATTAAGACAGTATTGTACCACAGAAATAATGAAGTTGCTAAGTTAGGACCAGAATCTCAAAGAATACTGGAAAAAGAAGCAGAATACAAAACAGGGAAATAGTTGCTCGGAAAGAGATAGAAGTTGTATTTTAAAGTGAAGCAGTTTCTTTAATGCTAAGTAGGCATAGACTTGCTTTCTTCAAAGTCAGTAGTTCCAAAAATGATTAGTGAATCTTGGTTCCTATTTTAAGATAATTGAAAAGGGTGATTTTTAGAAAGGGACATCAAAATTCTGACAATGTTTCTCATCAGCTAACAGCTGAATTTTCAGAAATAATTTGGCATATTTAAACATTTTATCTAGGATGAATTTCTTCAGTATCTTCTAATACAGGCTTGTACTCATATTTTCTAACAAATCAGGGAAGGTATCATAGCATACCAACACTGTGTTCTGTGCCAAAGTTCCCTTTCTGTAGACACTCCAATGCCATGTGCATTTCCTTTTGGAAAAAAAAAAAAATCAACCTCCTAGTTTATGTTTATATATCTGTACTTTCCCCTTCATTTCCTACCAATTCCTAATACATATGCTCTGACATTCATGGCCCACGTTTTTTTAATGTTATTATTCTCTGCTTTTATTTGGTTTGAGTTTGCTCTTAATGAGGTGAACTTTGCCCAGCCCAACTCCAGCTCCTATAAAATCTGTCATAAATGGCCAGATTTAGTGATTTTGTACAGAGAAAAAAAAAGCGTACATACCACACAGCTGTACTTGGAAACAGATGGTTTACTCCCTTTAAAGTGAACTAATGAGGGCGGGGATATAGAACAGAGAGGACAGGAACATTTCTGCCTAGGTTCTGAATTTGAAATTTTGGAAACGGTGCAGAAAAGAATGGTGGGGGAGAAGAGTGGTAAATCCACTGACAAAATCTGCACAGCTGCGCTGACATCAAGGCTCTCTACAGTGTCAGTTCCATCCAGCAGCTCAAGAGAGTATCCCATAAAGTGAAGGCCAGATCTTCATTTGATGTCAACTGCCGTAACTTTATTAAAATTATCTATTTATAGAAGTTCAGGATCTGGTCCTCTGTCCTTGCATTCAGTAAGAGTAAGAATCTCTAAATCACATTTTTCAAGGCTTCTGTAAAACAGAAGGGAGATCAGATCAGATGCAAAATCACAGCTTCTGATGAACATTTGGTGAAAGTGAATAATTTTTAAACTGACTTGGCCCACCAGTGTGGCCTTAAAATATGGAATCGTATGCTGCTAGTTCAGAAACATTTTTAGCACCTCCACCTAAACTTGCTCCTAAAGACACATTCAGAGAATGAAGAAACTTGTGATCATGATTTAGCTCCACTGGAAAGCTGCATCAGTTCTGATTTTGTATAAAAAGATGCATCAGGTTTCCCCTCTGATTCCTAGCCTAAACTTAAAAAAGAAAAGAAAAAATTCTTGATTTGTCTTCATATGTTGTTCATCAGTCTGCTCACTTATAGCACAGATCAGACGCACAGCAGCAAGAAAGAATCATCTGCTGAATAAGGCTATGTGAGACACGGTCACTACATGTAGAGCAATGTGGGCTTAGTGGGGCCCTTCCTCCCCTGGGGACTACAGTAATATAAATTATTAATAGTAAAAATAAACATTGGCTAGCTTGAACTTCTCTTCATTCTCCTAGATCTTCTTTTTGTAATGGAATTAGCTAAATAAAGCCCACTTGAAAGAATGTTTCATTGCAAACTATCCAAACAAAACAAAATTGAGATAATTGGTTCTTAAACATTAAACACTCCAAAGTAGATAGCTTTGGAAGCAGCCAACAAAGCAATGTATATTAGGATACATATGGTAAATTGAATAGTTAATCAAAACGCAGCCTAAACGAGATTACATTTACTTTTAAACAGATCTTCAAGTTTTGTCAGTCTGATTCTGCCTGGAAGATACTTTTGGATGAACAGAATTGCAACAATATACTTTCCAAACTCATAAATCAAAAGAGTTAAACTCACAGACTCACTTCTGGACATAGTTTGACTTTGAAAGATCTAGATCATCTATACTGTAAAACCTACTACCCCTTAAACCTATTCTAGTCTAAAAATGTTATCTTAGCAAAGACTACTGTTTCAAGTGCTTATTCTAAAACAATTACCTTCCTGAAAGTTGCATAGGGAGAGCTGACATAAGGAGTTCTGACAAAAGATCTCTGAAGGAGTGTGGTGATGCCTTCCACCAGAACAACTGATTACGGAGTTCACACCTGCCTTGGCCTCCACAAACTTCCTTTCTTCAGCCCTGTGATTTTGTTACTGCTATTAAATTCAAATATTTCAGTCAGCAAATACAGAGTGTCTGTTTTGGTATGTGAAGTCTCCCTTTTGTTACCCCTTAGGATAGTTAATGCACTTGCTATGTATTTCTTAAAAGTATTCCTAGCAAGACAAGAAAACGATCTCTCTCACGACAGTAAAATTTGGAAAAACAAACGAACAAACAAACAAAACAACAACAAAACAAGAAAACCAACCAAAAACAAACAAACAAACAAACAAAATCTAATTTAGAAAGTAGCAAAAAGTAGATGAACGGTAACCAAAATCACAGAGTAAAAATGATTTTAAAAACTAACGTACAGTAGAAGAATTTTTCTTTGGAGGTCTGCCGTGTGCATGAAAACAGACTAGTGGTAAAGCACTGAAAGTGCAGTTCTGAATGAGCCACATGTTTACCTTCTCACTTATCAGTAACTGACATTAACAAGACTTCTGCCAGAGATAATACATTCCTGGAAGCGACGGGCTCCTCACAGTCATCGAGCATAAGCTGCTCACTGGAAAAGATAGACCTTACTTGAAGCGCTAAGCAGAAGTTGCTCAGTAGCAGAAACAGATGAGTTGAAACCATGCTTAGTCCAAATGCTAACCCAACGTTAAGGTCCCCTGAACTGCTGTGAATACCATCAACAAATGTGACAAGAGTCACTTGTGAAAATGAGTTTTGTTTGTGCACCAAAAGAAAATATCAATCAGACCTCTGTCTCAAACTTCTTCACAGACCATGAACTCCAGTCTTTGCTCCCCGAGGACTCAAAGCTTTTCTTATAACTAGCAGTCACAGCTGCATAGGGGTTCATATCCCACAGTTTTCCTTAGATCTTGGACTGCTTTACTCTGCATCTATGCTGAAGTATGACAACAAAATTCCCACAGAAGAGATAAGTGAGAACTTCTGACAGTTTATTTCTTCTTCTACCCCAAAAGATGCAGGTAATTCTGGCAAAAGAAGTATTCTAGATGATTATTTTGCTAGTGGAGCTAAATCTTTTTGAATTTTATATTTCAGCATTTCTTTCAGCACTCATAGCTATGCCAGAACCTCCATAACACAAGTTTTCTATAGAGCTTCTCCAGAATACTTAAGGTGTGTAATAAATCTAGAATAGTTTTGATAGGTATTAGTAGACCGTAGATAATGTAAATAATAGTGTACAGTTACATTATCAGCACCTCACTCTATCAAAATATTGGTATTATTTACTACTAAGATGCTTCTTGAAGGAACAAAACAATCCAGCAAGGCTGTACTTTCTATAAGCACCCTTTATACTTTATCTAAATTTACTGTGCACTCTAACAGCTTCTATGCACACATCTTCTGCTAAATCAGCCATGTTGACCAATGAGAAGAAGATGGGAGGTGTCAAATCAATTCACTGTACATACTGACCCTTAATTCATCTGCTCCTACTGTCTTAAAAGAATGAGGTCAAAAAACAGTCACTTTCAGAACATGGTATGCAGGAAAATGACAGTAGGTTTGTGTTTAGTTACAGTTCATACAGCTGCAAAGAGATCTAAAACAAAGACAGTTGGCCAAATGCATAGTTTATATTCACGCAGCTATCATTTCACTGACAATCCAAGAAGCCGTAGTGATGGATGAGATGACAGTCAAATAGCTTTACATTTCAGGAGAGCACACAGGCAAAACAGTTAAATACCACAGTATTGCTATGAGTCCAGTGACATTAAGCCACGTGTGCACTGACCCGACCTTTAGCATCAGGTAGGCATCATTTGTGGAAGACAGTGATCACACACCTTGCCAAATGAAACCGATACGATGGCAGCAGCATCCAGAAAGCTGAAAAGCACCACAGCAACAAGCCTTTCTGCTAATGAAGAACCATGCCAGGCTGACAGAACAGTGTGGCCCTGGGGTGTTCTTCTATCTTCTTATATCCCCCGGCAGCTTTCCATCAGTTGCAGTATGACCCTCCAAAAATCAATACATGGATCATTGATCTTATGAACTCAAATTTGTGTTCCTCGACAAAACCATCAAGAATGTACAGCCAGAGACTGTATTGGCAGAAAATCACTTGGGCACTCCTCAAAATTCACAAACAGCCATTCAGATACAAAATGCACATACTGACAAGCAACCCCAGCAACATAAAAATCCAGATCCAGAATTAAATCCAGACACACAGCAGCAATGACACGATACATTTGATATAACAGACAAAAAGCACTATGTTCCAAATGATTTGGTTTACTCAAGAAAGATATTTTACAATCAGCTACAGGCATAGTGCATTGTAAAGATAGTCTGACAATTCTAGGTTACAGTATACTTGCTTACTGCTTTATATTAATCTAGAAATGGAGACAAATTCACAAGCAGTGTAGAAAAAGATTCACCACATATTACTACAGATCCGGAGATCGAAGTCAGTCTGGGTAGAAAGTATGTTTGGACCAGAGATTTTTCCAGAAGACGCAGTATATGCTCTTTTCCAAAGCTCTTTCAGAGCACACATGCCTTAGACTTGCATTATTGTTCTTGAAGAACTCATGCTCAAACAATTTTAAGATACTTTGGGCTGCTACTCATTTGTTTTGCAGTTCTGATGTTTGTTTGCATTGATTTTCTAAGGTTATTTAAATTCTTCATTTGTTAACAAATGCTGTTGGCAGCAGAACACACTGGAATGCGAACACTCCAGAAAAAAAAGAGAGGGACAACTCAGCCCCAGTGGAATTAGGAATAAGATCCAATGACTCCCAACAGGGTTTCACAAGGGATAGCTCTATTGTTTCCTTCAGTGGGAGTTGTGGATCAAAGCAGCATTTCCCATCAGCCTACATACAGGACTCTCACGAAAGGTGCCAGTTCCTTCAATATTGCTCTGTGGGCTCACATTACAGACACTGAATAACAAAAATATAATTACAGGTTTTCATATAAGTGTGTGCATGTACAAAAAGCATGAAATAAAGCACACAGTAAGGCTCAGTTAGGATATGTCAACACAGAAAACATATAATGACGTTAGAGCTGTTATGTTACTGATGGAATTAAACATGATTCATCCACATCAACTGCTTTTCTTTTTTTTAAATCTTCCATTGTGAAAAAGAAAAAAACACAATAGATAATATGTAACTGTGAACATTCACAAATGGGGAAAAGCCTGTGAATTATCTGTATAAAACACGCACCAGCCACATCTTCATACAGATTTAAAAAATGTAATTGCTCTGTCAGGTACGTACGCATTGAGAACAACTGTGTGTCGAATCTGTGAGAACGATGGCCTGCTGCTTTAACTTTACAGATCTCATCAAGCAAAATCCTTCCTCATAATCTGGAGAAATGCTCTAAACCCTTCCTGCAAAATTTCAGTTATGGAACGTAAACTCTGCAGAAATTCAGTGGAAATTCAGTGCACAGAAAAACTGTATGTTATTTTCATCATATTTTGCCTGCACTAATAGAAACATAAACCTGTTCATGCTAGCTCTAACACAGTAAACACTGTGACCCTAAAGCACGCTGGGGGCTCTCTGTTTCCTCCCTATTTGGTTATATGTTGAGTCCTAGCACTGGAGGATGACTTTTTTCCTCTTCCCAAATGTGGCAGTTTACACAGAGGTTATGTAAGTGCAAAGAATTACAGAAAAAATGTAAGTGGAAAGTACATATTTTTAAAATGCACTTGAATAACTCAAATGTGGCTGAACTGACATTATTCAGACTTTCCAGTCTTATTCAGTACTGGATTGAAACCAAGCACAAGACATTTCAGGCCCAAAGGACATTTTAAAGAAAACTCTAAGTACCTATATTTCATGTTTACAGTATCTGTCTGGGAAATCTCTGCTACCTAAAGACAGACTTACTTATCTCCTCACAGAATCAAACAGAAGGGATGTAAACTAATTACAGAGAAGCCTGGATCAGCTTGGAAGCACAAGGACTGAATCAGCCCCAAAGAACACCCAAAAGAGAAACCTGGATTCAAATGTCTGTATTCTTCCAGCAAAATATAGATGCAGATTCAGATCCAAATTTCACATTGAAAGTTCACTTCTAACCTGTGCAGACACTAGCTCTAGGCCCAGTTCTGCATTCCTTCCACACCCAAAACTGGAGTTCAGCCTGAATAAGGAATGCCAGAGAGAAGTGAATTTCTTATCTTTGCGGCAGATCTTGTTTGGCCATTACGTGCCTGTGAACCTGCCAAAACTCAAATGTGTGACAATGCTGAATAGTTCAGTTCCAAGACTGATTAGGTTTTGTAAGATTTCTCTTCCAGGACACTTAAAATAAGGTGGAACTTTTTCATATGCATACCTAACTGTTCGTACCTCCTGCATATGCTGAGAGGTTCCAATACTTCTGCTTACAAGCAATTTTCAACAATGGAAAAGATCCTAGATTTGTATAAAGAATGAGGAACAAAGGAAATAAGTTACATATTTCCAAAACTGGGGAACATTTAAAGGTACGGTAATACAAAATGCAACAGAACAATGTAAAATAAGATTTTAAAAAAATTAAATTTCACAGAGAGCAAGTAACAAATGAATAAATAAATAATATAAGAGGGTACCTCGGCCCAGCAGTCCCTGCTTATCATTCTTCAAAATCACAGGGTGGCATTGTGCACAAAGGTGCAGGTAGGTTTTTTTCCCCCCTAAAATGTTGAACTGAATAGAAATTATGTTTTCAGGCACCGAGTATGTGAAGATACATTGGTTTAAAACAATCTGCTTTTAGGGAGCATAAACTGATAACAGAAATTGAAAACCTGGAATAAGTGGATAAAAATTGCTAAGTCCAAAACCAACCTATATGTCTCTCTTGTACTAGCAGAGGTATCATCTTATGATCAGAACTAAACCAAGGATTCTGAGCACCTGCTGCCATCAGAGGCTGGCTGACAGTTTTAGCATGACTTTGTATCAGTGTAATTTTGGATTGTCACCAGCCAGTGACCTTCCAAATGCCATTCTGGCCAATAACATTTTGGTTAATTCAACTCTGTCTGTTCCTTTTTGCTCAGTTCTTCGGCCAAGATCAAGCGTGCATATTAAACTAATATTAAATCCACTATCTTATATAAAATGTCTATTTCTCTTCCAATCTAGTCTCACTGTTCATTTCATCCAAATGGCATAATTATGAGCCCCTCTAAGCCATTTCTCACTCCCCAGCTTTTGTGTAACTTTCTATACCCAGAGTCTCTGTTCTGTCCCGGTGCACTGTAACTCTACATCATCTCTCTTTCAGCTCTTGAGAGAGAGATACATTAAAATCCTAACTTTCCCCTCCCTGTAGACTGACTTCCTTTTTAGCTAGAATGGTACTCCGCCTTTCAGGTTCTTTATAAGGAAGGATGTTGCAAAGGAATATTAGGAAGGAATTAGCTGCAGAAGAGTGTAAAACGATATTGGCGGATCTGCTATTTACATGGTCCCAGGCCCCTGCCTGGACTGCTCCTAAGGGAGCAACCCAGGGCTGCAGTGAACACTGCAGAGCAACTTCGCTGCTGTTTTTCATCTTGACAGAAGGAAATCATCTCGTCTTAATACTGCCCCTTAGGGAACGCCATTGCATAATACGCTGCTGGCCTATATTTCCATGTTCTTGGCTCCAGGCTCTTACCAG